TTTTCATGCAAATAATAAAATAACCGAAAATTTTGAATACTTATTCAAACTATATAAGATTCTTGTTCCTTGTAAAATAATTCTTAACATAAGCACTGTTGAAGATAAACCAAGAGAAGTGGAATATAAAATAATAACGATTGAATGAATTATTTCACAAATTAGAATAAATATAAAAATATATTTTTAGCGGAAGAAAGAGTGAATCAGTTTCTGACATAAATCATTGGATGAGGTCTTAACAGTAACACGACAAATAATGCCTTTGGACTTGGATGAACCAACTTCGGTGCGAACAAGAACAAAAGGACCGTTGTCGATCATTTGACCACTGAAATCAAGAATAATAGCCGTGTTCTTAGAGTTTTCGCCTTTACAAACAAAATGAAGCCATGAGAAATCGTCTTCGATACGCTTAACAGCAGATTCGGTGTCTTTGTCATTAGACATAACAAATGCTTTTGTGCATTTAATATATTGTTCGTTATCCCATTCACGCTCGAAATCAACTGAGATAGGCTCGCACCAAAATTCGGGACCTAAATAAACATCCCCCAAATTGTACTCATCTTCCGAGCCAACATCGGAATCCGTGTATTCGAGTTTAGCACTGAATGTGCCGAAACAAAGATGACTTTGACTACGTTCAAGGACTAAACATGTGGAGACTGTTTGTTGATAACCAACTTGTTTGGCAACGTATTCATTTGAGTCATCTAAAACATCGATGTCACTCAATCTGATAGACAAGTCATTATATACTTTGTCTTCAATCGTGTTAGTGACAATAAACTCTAAAATAATGTGTTTCTTGAAGATGTTAACGAAATATGAAACAACAAACTCTTCATCACGATCAGTGAGGTCAATAGCATCCGTTTTACGGATAATATCACCATACTTACGTTTGATGTTATCGTCAAACTCAACGGGAATAAATGTAGTTTCGTCGGTGACTTGTTGAAGATCTGTTGTTTGTTCTGAATTATCTGAAACATGTTCGTCGTGTGAGATGTCGTCCGTTTCGTCTGAAACCATATGGAATTCAGTCAGAATAGTTGACATGTCTAAACAGCTCTTCAATGCATGGATTAATAACAAAACATGCTCGCGAACAATGTCATCTTCGTCATCAACAAAAAGTGATAAAAGTGGTAAAATCTTTTCTTTCATCCCTTCGCATTTGTATGCAATACATGAAAGTGTGTTAAGAGCGGCCATGCGAACTGATGAAACATCTAAGTTAACACGGTTAAAAAGAACCGGAATGATACCTTCTGGATCTTCCAATGATTCAACTTGTCCACCAATGAAATCACAGATAGTACGTGCAACATCAACAGTGTCCCAGTCTTCTAAATACTCGGAAAGCTTAGGAAGAAGTTGTGAACGAGGGATACCTTCTGTAGTAAGAAGAGATCGAAGGATCGAGAACTTAGATTTCTTGTCATTCGTGTATTTGAGAAGTAAAACTGCGACGTCTGTTAACTTGTCCGATTTGTACTTGCCAGCAAAGACACATGCCTCTTGTGCAACTGATTTAAGAAGTGGTGTAGCCCATTTCTTGCAGTTCTTAAGGATACGCTTAGTAGCGATGTCCATGTGTGATTCATCGCCAAGACGAAGAACGCAGATGCTGGCAAGGGCGGCAAGAGAGCTGTTGCTGTGCTTAGTAAGTTCGATGATTTGTGGAAGAAGTGATGAATAGACTTGGATGTTTGTCGAATTTGCAATAGTACGGACTGCGGCGAACGACCGAAGAATTGAACCACCAAAGAATGAAAAAATCGCAGTGGCGGACTCGTTAGGTAAGTATGAACCGCATTTACGAATGGTTTCAAGACATGTTTGTGGTGAATTAGAATTGATTGATTGACGTAAGAAATTCATAACTTGATCGGTTTGTTTGAGCTTGAGAGTTTGTGTAGCAATCGAGATTTGGATGCATTGTTCAAGAATGCTCTTAGATGGTTCTAATGTACTCGATAATTGAGCAGACGCATGAAGATCATCACTTCGAAGAGCATGAAGTAGAAGTAATGCGTGAAAACGAACGGATCGTTGTGTTGAATTTGATGCTTGACGAATTTCATAAAGCCACCTTAAAACGGCGTCTTTTCTGCCACCTTCAATAATCTTAAGAGCACCACAAAATGCTGATGATGCTGTATATGAGTTATTTTATTATTATGTTTAAGTTGTTAAATACTCTCTTCTTATATTAACGTAGTGAAGAATGATGTATATCAAAATATATTGATTGATATAATATTCTCTTCATGAATTTTTTATTAAAAGAATTTGAAGTATAAATTGAACTATAAAAGATTTTTCATCTTGTCTATGTAAAGCAATGACAATTGATAACTAACGACGTCCTTAAATTATTAATATTTGTTTCTACATAACTTCATGCAGAAACATGATATTTAATAACAATTTCATATAATCCAGTTCAAATGTTATATTTTTATCGCAACCATCATCAATAAGAATAACTACAACGTCGTAATTCCTGTTTTTCAAATAAATAATATACATTAATCAAATTAGAGTTTTCGATTTTGAAACTTTCATTAGAAGAGAATGAAATAATAGATTATGAAGAGTTAGAAATGTTTACTAAAGTTTGTAAAAAAAGAGAAAGTTTATTAAATTTAGAAATTCTTTTATTGATAATTGCTAATTCTGCTTGGCAATTACCAGTTGAAAGATGAATCAATTTGTTAGTAAATGGTTCTCTTCGATTAGTAGGTACTACATTTCTATAAAATGTATTTGAAATCGAATTGTCAATGTAACAATTATCAACTGTTGTTTGTTCATTTGGATCACCATAATCATGGTTATATATCAAATATGAACCTTGAGGAACAGTGTTGTTAATAAAAGAACAACTTTTTACAGTAAGAGAATTATATGAATGGTAAATAATTCCTAAATTTGATTTTGTTTTTGTATTATTTATAATATTACATGAATCAATCAAAGAGTTATACCAAATATCTAGAATCATTTGTTTTGTTGCTAAATTATTAACAACAGTTGTATAGTTATATTTTGTTGTGTATTTTTCTAAAGGATTTTTAATCCAACCAGCAGGTCCCCAAGATGCTTTGCATGAAGAGAAATTTGTTGATGAAACTACGATATTATCACGTTCTGCATAAATAGAACTATCAATACTTTCTTTTCCTACATCGAAAAGGGAACTTTCAATAATAAAGTTTAAGTTATCTTTGTCAACTTTTGTATATGAAAAGTGGCCTTGTACTTGGCTTTGGCATTTTGTACAACAGAATTTTCGTTGAACAATAGAACTATTACTACCAATTTTGAAGTAAATGCAACTTCCTTCTGATGTTGAAGTGCAATTACTAAAAGAACACCGATTATGTAGGAACAGTGAGTTTTCAATTGGATCAAAGTTGATAACTCGGTTATTATCATCATAAAAATTGCACTCATCTAAGTAATATTGACCTTGACCTGCTAATAGATCGCAGTTTTGGCAATATTTAGTCGGATCTCCTGTTAGCCCACTGCTGAAGTAGAATTTCCAAACATCGTCATCTTCTGGAGAAGATGACTTTTTTGCATTTTCATGCAAATAATAAAATAACCGAAAATTTTGAATACTTATTCAAACTATATAAGATTCTTGTTCCTTGTAAAATAATTCTTAACATAAGCACTGTTGAAGATAAACCAAGAGAAGTGGAATATAAAATAATAACGATTGAATGAATTATTTCACAAATTAGAATAAATATAAAAATATCTTTTTAGCGGAAGAAAGAGTGAATCAGTTTCTGACATAAATCATTGGATGAGGTCTTAACAGTAACACGACAAATAATGCCTTTGGACTTGGATGAACCAACTTCGGTGCGAACAAGAACAAAAGGACCGTTGTCGATCATTTGACCACTGAAATCAAGAATAATAGCCGTGTTCTTAGAGTTTTCGCCTTTACAAACAAAATGAAGCCATGAGAAATCGTCTTCGATGCGCTTAACAGCAGATTCGGTGTCTTTGTCATTAGACATAACAAATGCTTTTGTGCATTTAATATATTGTTCGTTATCCCATTCACGCTCGAAATCAACTGAGATAGGCTCGCACCAAAATTCGGGACCTAAATAAACATCCCCCAAATTGTACTCATCTTCCGAGCCAACATCGGAATCCGTGTATTCGAGTTTAGCACTGAATGTGCCGAAACAAAGATGACTTTGACTACGTTCAAGGACTAAACATGTGGAGACTGTTTGTTGATAACCAACTTGTTTGGCAACGTATTCATTTGAGTCATCTAAAACATCGATGTCACTCAATCTGATAGACAAGTCATTATATACTTTGTCTTCAATCGTGTTAGTGACAATAAACTCTAAAATAATGTGTTTCTTGAAGATGTTAACGAAATATGAAACAACAAACTCTTCATCACGATCAGTGAGGTCAATAGCATCCGTTTTACGGATAATATCACCATACTTACGTTGATGTTATCGTCAAACTCAACGGGAATAAATGTAGTTTCGTGGTGACTTGTTGAAGATCTGTTTGTTTGTTCTGAATTATCTGAAACATGTTCGTCGTGTGAGATGTCGTCCGTTTCGTCTGAAACCATATGGAATTCAGTCAGAATAGTTGACATGTCTAAACAGCTCTTCAATGCATGGATTAATAACAAAACATGCTCTCGCGAACAATGTCATCTTCGTCATCAACAAAAAGTGATAAAAGTGGTAAAATCTTTTCTTTCATCCCTTCGCATTTGTATGCAATACATGAAAGTGTGTTAAGAGCGGCCATGCGAACTGATGAAACATCTAAGTTAACACGGTTAAAAAGAACCGGAATGATACCTTCTGGATCTTCCAATGATTCAACTTGTCCACCAATGAAATCACAGATAGTACGTGCAACATCAACAGTGTCCCAGTCTTCTAAATACTCGGAAAGCTTAGGAAGAAGTTGTGAACGAGGGATACCTTCTGTAGTAAGAAGAGATCGAAGGATCGAGAACTTAGATTTCTTGTCATTCGTGTATTTGAGAAGTAAAACTGCGACGTCTGTTAACTTGTCCGATTTGTACTTGCCAGCAAAGACACATGCCTCTTGTGCAACTGATTTAAGAAGTGGTGTAGCCCATTTCTTGCAGTTCTTAAGGATACGCTTAGTAGCGATGTCCATGTGTGATTCATCGCCAAGACGAAGAACGCAGATGCTGGCAAGGGCGGCAAGAGAGCTGTTGCTGTGCTTAGTAAGTTCGATGATTTGTGGAAGAAGTGATGAATAGACTTGGATGTTTGTCGAATTTGCAATAGTACGGACTGCGGCGAACGACCGAAGAATTGAACCACCAAAGAATGAAAAAATCGCAGTGGCGGACTCGTTAGGTAAGTATGAACCGCATTTACGAATGGTTTCAAGACATGTTTGTGGTGAATTAGAATTGATTGATTGACGTAAGAAATTCATAACTTGATCGGTTTGTTTGAGCTTGAGAGTTTGTGTAGCAATCGAGATTTGGATGCATTGTTCAAGAATGCTCTTAGATGGTTCTAATGTACTCGATAATTGAGCAGACGCATGAAGATCATCACTTCGAAGAGCATGAAGTAGAAGTAATGCGTGAAAACGAACAGATCGTTGTGTTGAATTTGATGCTTGACGAATTTCATAAAGCCACCTTAAAACGGCGTCTTTTCTGCCACCTTCAATAATCTTAAGAGCACCACAAAGTGCTGATGATGATGTATATGGGTTATTTGAGCTGATGGCAGGCTTAAGGAACTTTTCGAGAGTTAATGCACTATTTGCATCGAGAAGAGAGCATAAACAACGAATAGCATGGCCTTGTGTCATTGCTACTTCGCCATTAATGTCTTTACTAAGAGAGTGAGTGATAATAATAGCATCATGTGGTTTAATTTTAATTTGCTTCAATAAAAGAATAAGAAGGCGATGAATATATGGATCTTGATTATGCATAAGTTGTGTTAAACTGAAAAATAGTTCAGTTTGCTCTTTGTCAGTGAATTGAACGCCAATTGCTGTTGCTTGTAAAATTGCAATCATAGCTGCTCTACATTTAGAAAGATCTAATGTAACATCACGGAATACACGTGATTTATTGATAATCGCAGAAGTATTAATGTCTTTAGGATCAGTACTTTTTGCTCCAGCCTTCTTCTTCATCTGAAAAAAAAAGTGAGTTTTTTTTTCGAAATCATTTTTATTAGAAATCAATATTATAATTACATATAAAAACGCTTAAAATAATAAATTGAACTGTAAAAAAGGCTATTGATAACATAATTCAAATTTTCACAAAAACTATGTTAATGAGCAAATTCATAATAAAATAAGCCTGTGTGCATATGGATAAGCATTTGGTCTTATTAAAAATATATATTAGCATATGAAGCATTTCCATTATCATAACTTTTGGGAAATACCTCTGTATAGTTGGTAAAAAAATGTAACTTTTTAAAATGATATTTCAGTAGCTATATAAATCGATTAAATTAAACTTGAGAGGTTAAAAAAATAAAATTATTTTGAAAAGTAAAGTATTTATTAATGCAACAACATGAGTTATAGAATAGGACAAATTTATCATTCTGTTGCAGTCTCTTTGTTCTCCTCAGTCTCCTTGTTTTCTTGTTCTCCGGATTTTTCTTGAAGCTGCTTCAGTTTTTCTCTTTTCTCCTCAACAATTGGTTGTAATTCTTGAATAGCAGCAATGAGTTCTTCTTTTGTTTCTGGATTCTTTCTCTGAACTTCTGGTGTATTTAAATCACGTGTTTTAACTTCTTGTGTTTGCTTATTTGAATTATCTTTGCCACCTTTGTATGGAGAGTCACGGTTGATTTTGATTGATGGTTTAGATGGTGAAATACGTGATTTTGATTCCATTTTGAATGACATGTGATATGAAAAAACATATGTGGTAAAAAATATTTCAGAATGGAATTAGAAGTAGAAAGTAGTCCAACTAAAATTGCACCGACTTAAAATATTCAATATTTACGGTTATTTTATTATTTGCATGAAAATGCAAAAAAGTCATCTTCTCCAGAAGATGACGATGTTTGGAAATTCTACTTCAACAGTGAATTAACAGAAGATCCAACTAAATATTGCCAAAATTGTAATCTAACAGCAAATAAAGGTCAATATTACTTAGATGAGTGCAATTTTTATGATGATAACGACCGAGTTATCAACTTTGATCCAATTGAAAACTCACTGTTCCTACATAATCGGTGTTCTTTTAGTAATTGCACTTCAACATCAAGTGGAAGTTGCATTTACTTCAAAATTGGTAGCAATAGCTCAATTGTTCAACGAAAATTCTGTTGTACAAAATGCCAAAGCCAAGGTGAAGGCCAATTTTCATATACAAAAGTTGACAGAGATAACTTAAACTTTTTTATTGAAAGTTCCCTTTTCGATGTAGGAAAAGAAAGTGTTGGTTATAGTTCTATTTATGCCGAACGTGATAATATCGTAGTTTCATCAACAAATTTCTCATCATGCAAAGCATCTTGGGGACCTGCTGGTTGGATTAAAAATCCTTTAGAAAAATACACAACAAAATATAACTATACAACTGTTGTTAATAATTTAGCAACAAATAGTATGATTCTAGATATTTGGTATAATGCGTTGATTGATTCATGTAATATTATAAATAATACAAAAACAGAATCAAATTTAGGAATTATTTACCATTCATATAATTCTCTTACTGTAAAAAGTTGTTCTTTTATTAACAACACTGTTCCTCAAGGTTCATATTTGATATATAACCATGATTATGGTGATCCAAATGAACAAACAACAGTTGATAATTGTTACATTGACAATTCGATTTCAAATACATTTTATAGAAATGTAGTACCTACTAATCGAAGAGAACTATTTACTAACAAATTGATTCATCTTTCAACTGGTAATTGCCAAGCAGAATTAGCAATTATCAATAAAAGTATTTCTTATGTTAATAGACTTTCTCTTTTTTTACAAACTTTAGTAAACATTTCTAAATCTTCATAATCTATAGTTTTAGGGAAGTCACTATAGTGTCAAATTGCGTTTACTGTGTAAAATATATTTCGCGCCGATAGAAAATATTAAAAGTGACAAGATTTTGAATATGGAGATTGATTTTGAAAAAAAATCAATAGTTAACAAAGATAATCAGAAGCAATTCATAATAAAAGAAGCAAGTCCTAATAATTTGGAAGCTAATGAAATAGATCCTAGCATTTATTTGGCGAAATTACGCTCAAATGAACTATCAAGCATCAATGAAGCGATTAATTATTACAGTACTAACCCCTCCCTTGTCGATTATGAAGTATTTGATGAATTATGCAATCATTTATCCACAAAAAACGTTCTTTCTACAATTATTCCAATTATCGGCGATCATTTATTAGCTGATCCAAGCATCATTTCAAATATGTTATTTACTGGTGTTTTGCCGCATATTTTAGGATTTTTTGATATTCAATACGAAAATTTTCCTTTTTTCGAAAAGCCAGATTTTGCCGAACTTGCAATCCGCTTTGCAGCTAAGCTTTTTAGAATAGAACATGAATCTCAGCAAGAAATTTTCGAATTAATTTTAGATCCGATTTGTTTTATACTTGAAACCTTTCAAAAAACTGAAATTGATGACCAGATAAAGTTAAGATTTGTTGTTTCCTTCATGAGCGCTATTCTAGATTTCTTTTTTGTCATATTTTCAAAAGAAACCCTTCTTACAAAAGAAAAAACGCTTGAAGTTATCAATTTAATGCACAGTATAATTATGCCGCTTAATCCGGATGATTCTCATGATATAATGCGCTCTTTTTCATCATTATTTAAATATATTTTGAACCAAATCGATGAAGATACGTTTAACTACTACGTGTTAGGAAATATTTTTAATATACTACATGAATTTTACCAAATCCAAGATCGAGCGGTTTTAATTGATTATCTCGTCGCATTAGTCAATTTTTCAGCCAATAATAAGAATATTATTGCACAATATGTAATAGATGATGGTTTTATTAATGAAATCAAGGAAATTTCAATGAAATATAATGATGAAGAATTTACTTCAAGAATCGTTGCTGTTTATGTTAATTTAGCTCAATCTGGGTCGATAGAAATCATTGAGTATCTCGTACAATCTCATATTCACGAATTTTTAGTAAATCAATTTCTTGAAAATACAAAATACATAATTAAAGCTCGAGCACTGCTAGGCATCTGCTATTTGAGTGATACATTGTCGGGCACCGAGCTGCTCCAAAATTATCCAGAAATTATTGATACTTTGGTTGATATGATTTCAATTCCAGATATGAGAGCTGTTGAAGCGGTTTTTGCTTTTATTGGTCAATGTATATCAGAATGCGAAATCAAAAGCAAAGATGAGGCTTTAGAATTTATAAATTATTTAAATGAAAATGATTTCATTGAACAAATGAATTCATTAAAAGGGCAAGAAGGTTTACCGGATAGCTATGACGTTGTTGATGCAGAAATCAACCTAATACTAAATAAAAAAGAAGAAAATTCAATTGTTGATTCTATGCCTCTCCAAGCGACAACGGAAGAGTTTTATAACTCAGATGGGGAAGTAGAGGTTGTGGATACAAATATCCCAGTTGATTTGCAAATCGAAATAAATGATAATAATGAAGAAGAAGATGGATATAATTAATTATAATTTGTGTTTAAATAAATAGAGTATGTTTGAATTTATTCATAAAAGTTTTTAAAATTGTAAAAATATCAAATTTTCTAAATAAAGTAAACTATGTATGAAATATTGCTTATCATCCGATTTGACTTACTGATCTTCGATAATGCTTATCAGTTTTCGTATAAAAATCGTGCAAGTTGCAAATCATCACTTTGAAATACGAATTTCAATTCAATGAGTTATCTCAAATTTGATAAGACAAATTGCGATGACTCATTGAATATTAGTTTTCTTCTATAATATAGGATTCCAGTTATGTGCATAAATAGGTAAAAGTTAAATAATATATATTTATTAAATAGTTACTACAATACATACAAAAAACTTAGAAATTCTTTGAGATATCAACATCAAAGTCTAAAGAAGAAAACATTGCGATTTCCTTTCCTCTTTCTTTCTGCTTAATGGTTGTTTCTTTACCAATCTTAAGCATGGTCTGTGCACAATTCAAAAGCAACTCATAATCATTATAGCGTGCTAAATGAATAACTGATTTTGCGTCTTGTGAATATCCAAGTGCTGATGCTGCGCAAGCAATTGCAGAAATAGCACATAGTGAAGGTGGTATTTCAATAAATTCCCATTTTTGTAAGGCAATTTCTGTGAAAAAGTTAGTTATCTCAATTAAGTTTGAATCATTTCTAGTGAGGAGCAAAAAGCGCCTCATAAAGAATTTAGAAGTTGGGAAGTTGAGTGTAAAGTTGAGTGCTGTAACAATATTAACTTCAGCACGAGAAAATTGTTCTAAGGTGAAATTTTCATTTGTGATTTTGTTAAATTCGGCGATAGGTGGCTGACATCTATTATCTATTTTGGCAGAAATCCAGTAGCAAACTACAGCGTAGAGTTGTAATTCATTTAACTCAATGTTCCTAAGTGAAATATAAATATCGAAATAGGTAACAGCAGAGTATAATGTGTCACTTGTAAGTTTGAAGTGGTAGTTAAGCTGGATTAGCCATCTAACTGTTACTTCTCTATATTTTGGCGTTAATGCGGTTTGAATTTTTAATATCGATTGTTTAGATATCGGTATTGTCTGTTCATCTTCGTATGCTTGTGCAAATATCGCAGAAGCAGATGATGCAAGTTGAAGTGGTTTATCTAAGTTTTCTTGATCTAATTTTTGGAATAGATCGTTAGAATCTTCTTCACTTTCATCTGAGTATATGTCAGGATCACTATATTCATCATCAAATCTTTCTTGTGAGGAAGAGATCGTTATGATTTTTTCGGCTTTGATGTTTTCATTGATGTTAATGTTTTGATTGTTTGACGACATATCTGCATTGGTATTACTAATCATTCCTAACTGCTTGATTTTAGGATCAAGTCTCTTGATGTTCGTGAAAATCGACATCAAATCAAAATTTTAAACGCACACTATATTGTCTTCGTTTTGACCGTGATGCGCAAAATATTGCTCTACACTATTTGCTTGAGCGTTATTGATAAAAATGCGTGGTCACAGATTAGACAAAAATTCCGGAACAATAATTTGATCGAAAAAAGATATCCGTATTATGAAAATTCAAACAATTCCATTAGACATGCATGTTGTATCGATTATGTGCTCAAATATCTCTCAAATAAATACATAACTGAATGTACCGTCAATTTAAATAAAATCCTCATAGTTTGAATAAGAAAATTGCGCTTATTTTAAGTTCTTAATCCAAAAATACGAAATTTGAAATTCTGATTTCCCTTCATTAATTGACTATGGTTTAATACTTGATTTTCAGCGTGTCTTATATTGCTGTAGTAGTTCAAATTGATGCCATCTTGTAAATAGCATTTTATCATAATGTATTCATTTTTCATTTCAAATATTGTTGGATCTTCTTAGAGCCTGAAATTCATCTTGACTTCACGATTACAATTTGTTGATACATGATTTTATTAAAAAAATTATAAATTAAATCTTACATTTTAATAAAGTACAACTAAGAAAAGTTATATTAATAAATCATCAGCAAGTATTTGCTTGGAAAGTTTTGTAGAATCCTTTGAAGTATCCTTTGGGGCTTCTTTAGCAGCTTCTTTAGATTCTTCCTTTGGAGCCTCTTTCGGTGTCTCCTTGTTAGCTGCATCTTTAGCTGGTTGTTCCTTAGCAGCTTGGTTTTCTTGTTCGGCTTTAAAAGCTCTATTTTCAAATTTGGCAGCAGAGAATTTGTTTATTTCGTTAATTTTTGCTTGAAGATCTTTAATTGCATTTGTTTTACTAAACTCATTAATTGATTTTGCGGCTTCTGTTTGTTTGTCCAATGATTCTGCAATACTGCTCAATCTTTTTGTGATTCTTGGCAATTTCATAGAATCATATGTATTTGTAAGATCCTCTGCATAATCTGAAACTATATGTGAGTAGTTAAGACTACGAAGAACTACGATTAAAGGAGAAGATGATGAAAGCATAAAAAATATTTTTGGTGACATCCCCTGCGTATTATTTTATTTCACCATCACTTGCCATGAGAAATAGACTTGATTTATAATATAACCCTTTTGTAATTAATCTTTTCACAGTAAATTCGATACAGTTATATGGTATCTCCACCTAAAAATATAAAATCTCAAAAAGAATCAATAATTCTGGGAAATAATTAAATGTTTTTGGATAACCATTAATTATGACATACAATTACAATTCCAAAATTTTCATGTTTTAATGTTTTTCATTTAAAAATCGTACTTTTTCATTTTAAATTTCAATTTTTCAATTTTTTTTGGAAATCAAAATTGCAGATAGAAGGAATCTTTCATTGTAGATAAAAAACTTTTTGTTATTTATAAGATAATTTTCTATCAAATTACACTAAACAAGTTTATTTCGAGTAAATCTGAACAAATCTTGTGATAGGTTTGTACATTGGTACACATTTTGCATAACATTTGTTTGACATTATTCAGGCATATCTCATTTCATCAATAACTTTCCAAAAATGTCATTCATATTATGACATGAACAGTATCTCACTTTTGTGGACAAAATGCAAAAACCTATGAATTTTCCTATTTTAATTTGATATTCATAATATATAAGTATTTGTAATGCATATTCTATCTTCTAATTAGTAAAATTACATTGCCCGCCAAAATCAAAAATTTTCTATTGAAAAAATAGCGCCAAGTCCAAAAGTTCATTTTCTCATTGAAGACCGCAGCTGAGTCAATGGCCGATTATCCACTTGCTGATGCTACACAGCCTTTGATCTGGCCAATCATAGTGCTGTTCCATCCACATCAGCAAGTGATTTCGCATCAGATCTCCACTTGGTTTCCATGAGGAGTTCTGCAAGCCAGGAGTGCATATCTATACAGCCTTGCTCTAGGATATAGTAGCCAGGCTGCGTATATATTGCGCTCCTATGGATATTAGTTATACGTTATTATCCGCATGGGCTCATACTGCCATCCTCTGGTTCCCGAAGGGCTAAGGATTTGTAATTACTCGAATTGGCAAGGTTCTTCCGAGATCTCTCATTCAAGGAGATATCTCGGAAGAATTTGCCCTAAAGTACTCTAATTACTGTTCCCTAGTTTCTAAAGAGCTAGAATTTTGTAATTAATCGAATAAGGCAGGATTTTTCCGAAGTCCTCATTTTGATGAGAGGCCTCGGGAAAATCCTGCCTTAAGGTAATATACTTGTAGTCTTTGGTCTTTTTATAGGCCAAAGACTGTAAAATTGCTTGAATAGAGCAATGTTCTTCCGAGGCCTCTCAATAATGAGAGACTTGGGAAGAACATTGCACTAATGTAAAGTATGTGTGGTACTTGGCCAGCAAGGAGCGAGAGAACTTGTCTGTAATTTGTTTATGCTGAAGTTTTCTGAAGTTTTTTCAAATTAGGAAAAAAATTCAGAAAACTTCAGCATAAGTTAATGCTGTTGTGGTTCTCTAGCTCTTTGCCGGCCAGAGATCGAATAAAAAGTTTATTGGGTGAGTAGGCTCGATCCATGCCTACCCACTACAAATATACGTTATTTTTTTTATTTGCTATGAGGAAATAGTTTTTCATTTTTATAATACTATATGTTTTACTACTTCATAAATTGTTTATTTTCTTATTAAAACCTAATTTTTCCGTGTGATTCGGAATCTATGCATTCCAAAAATGCGTTTTCCGCTCTCAGAACGTGAAAATATGCACTACATGAGGAGATAAAGAGATTTCTTATGTTTCTATTTTTTCGAATTTTTCAATCTTGATCAAAACTCGAAAATAAGCAGATATTCTAATAGAGTACATAAAATAACATACATCTGTAATATTGGAATTTTCGAAAAATCTCCAAAAAAATCACGGTTCGAAAATTTCGAAATCAAAAAGGGGTCATTATTGATTTTGTAATTTAATCGTCGTCGTTATCGATTTTGTAATTTAATCGTTATCGTCTTTTTCTAAACGTGCATTTTTTGCTTTCGGAGCTATTGAACATACATTGGCCCTTACCAGCAATTGAAAACTATTTTTCATTATCAACAATTACATTACTCCGAGTTATTCATCAATCAATGAAAATCGATATATAGTCCATACTTCAATTTACAATATTGGCAAGTCCAATTTCACTTGGCATATTTAACTCATATAGAAAAACCAGTTGGAATCGGCAAAATTATCTTTAATTCCATACATAAGAAAAAAAAATTATAAAGTTCTTCAATAATAGCAAACTAATAGTTTAAATAGATTTACAAGTATCGCCCATCTACTTTTGATATAATTCACGTATTAAATGTAGAAAACTGGTTTAAAATAAATATTTCAAAAGTTCGAAAACGAATTATGAAAAAATAACGTGATGACATTTACTAAATTTGCTCTGTATTAAAGTATCGATGATAGAAAGAGCATATTTTGTAAATATTTCAAAAATATTTAAAAGTCGGAGAAATTGTATTGTAATGTACTATAATTATGTTACAAATCCGATTCAATACTAATCCTTCGCTATTGATGTTGTTTTGAGAAGGATATTCTCTAAATTCTTGATAAATCTTTAAAATCTAGAGTAATTGTTTTGTAAACTTAACAAAACTAAAATGTATACCAATAGATTGGCATTTTCTACGTTTTCAAAGTGAGAGAGTGTAAATTCTTTTTTTTTATCCTATTAAGGTTTTTAAAAAATTTAATTAACTTAATTTATATGATCTGAAATATATGACAAGTTAATATGGAGAATTCTTTCAACCCAATTTCAATTTATTGAATTTTCTATTCGAATTCAAAAATTTTCCCAAGAAGAAAAAATAATTAGGAAATTTAATATGTTAATACATAAAATATTTTATTTATTCAAAGAATTCAATTTTCTATTGGATCAAAAAACTTGTGTTGAAGTTCGTATTTTAAGATAACTATACTTTTAGAAGCTGTTTTTATTTTTTTCACCGGGATTTTATTAATTTAATTCTTTCAAAATTTGAATCTTATTGTATATCACCGGACTATGATCATAATAGAGTTGCAATCTCTAATTATAGCCACATTAGTACTCGTGGGTCGATATATCATGGGAGATACAAAATTATTTGAATTTTCTTTTATTTTTTTAAAAAATATTAAAAAAAGTAAATAAATAACTAACAACACAGCATCACTTTTCGTAAAATGCTTTAATCCTAGTCCTTTTTCCCCTTAATTTTTCAATCTCTCCCAGGTTGAAATTTATTCCGGGAATTTTTAAAGATGCTTGGTCAACATAAAATTTCATTAAATCTTCCACAGGAGTCATAAACTCTGAACATTTGAAGCGAGCATGAACTGCATCATTCAAATTTTTAAGAAGATTTTTGTTCGAAAAGTGATTCAATACGGCGATTACATGAATACAAGGTAATCCGTATAATTCGATGTGCTTACATGTGCATGAATATTGTGAATCTGACATAATTTTTACGCAATATGTATAGCGACCAAAAGTTGCATAATATAATTATTGAATTGGATCATATAATACCGAGCTAAACATATCTGAATGTTTCAAAGTTTCATTTAGATTTTTGATAATATTATCTGATTTAAAATCACCTGTTAAAACATTTTTAACAAGATTGAATTCATGTTCAATGAGACGGATAATTAGTTCGGCGGGTTCATATGTATCCCATTTATCTTTAATTTCGGCATTAAGGGATTCAATAAGAGATGTTGTGAGTATGCCAGCGGTGTAGTCAGCGAATCCTTCAAATGGGTTAATACTATCTAAGTACTTAAAGAGATCCTGATTATTTTCGCGGTTTGGATATTCCTCTTGTAAACGAGTTTCTAACTTTTTAATCAAGTCAATTCGTTTTTGAGGATGGTCTGCGTAAGCGACTTCAACAATTTCGGAATAGACATTGATGTATTCCCTTTTTGTTGCAAAATGACGTAAGCAAAATTTATGATCGCAAGAAAAGCCTGATTCTCTAACAGCAGCTATAATTGCCGGACCTTGATCGGAATAAATATTCTTGAATCTGCTTGGTGGAATAAAAGATTTCAATTTAGTGAGCATATCCTTAATTGTTATCGTATTTTCACTAACAGACCATGCAAATGCAATAGGGATAAGTCTATTATTTGGTGCAGGTGTACCAATAATGAGTAAGTTTCCTTTTTTAATACAAAATAAAAACGTTCCATCAATTTGAATTATTCCGCAAAAAGCTTGTGTTTGCATGTAAAAATGAGTTATTGGAGGAATTACAATAAATGAATAAATTTGAAAGTCTTTTGAATTTTCAGGTAATTCATCACCTTTCTTAAATGTATGCAATTCAATTTCATTGTTAACTTCTTTAACTAAAATCATTTCGCAGAATCCTTGTTCGATTTTGTTTATGATTGAAAAAATTGTTGAGAAATAATTGTAAGATTGAATTCTATCCCCTTTGTGGTTCCTTTAAGTTTATTTACTATATTATGGAACATCGTATAAGTTGCATTGGGAATATTCAATTCTTTTGCAAAAATTTCTTTGCATTGAGGAACATTATCAGAATTTGCTAATTCATAGACTTTTTTTCCTGCTTGCAACTTAAGAATTTTTGGTATATTGTTACTCGGCTTGCATTGCTTTGCTCTATGCTCGTGTTTAATTACTGGAATGAAGAAAAGTTGACCATTTTCATGAGTCTTTACAAGCTCCATGCAAAATTGGCAGTTAGGACAACGAAACTTTTTTCCTTGCTCAAAATTTAATGGATAAAAAGAATTATATGAATCTTTTGCAATAAATATAGCAGCTTCTGTAGGATCTGTAAATTTTAATTTGCTATATCTTTCCTTGAGAATTGGAATTGGGGAATTTTCAGGTATTTCCATTCTATATTTCAATTTTTTACGAGAATTCAATTCATTTTGAATTAAATCAAGCATATCAGCTCCATCTCCTTTTTCTTCATCAACAATAGCTTGGATGGATACTGATATAGTTTGATTCTCTTCCACTATTGTCGGTTCGCTTTCCGACATGAGATAAAATTGAAGGTTTAACGTACTTTTGATACTCTGAGTTAAAAAAAGATTTTCTTAACATAATTTGATTTATTGGTCCTTAAAAAATTCTGATTCAAAATTGAATTGAATCGAACGAGTTTTCCTTTTGAGTCATTTCAAATATTCATGAGAAAGAAAAAAAATTCTAGCAATTTCAAATATTTTTGATTTGATTGAATTCAAAAGTGTCACAAATATTCAATGAGAAAGAGAAAAGAGATCGAATATGTTGTTTCTGAGCGAATAGTCAAGCAATATTTCGTTAAGTACAAAGATCAGCATCCGGAAAAAAATAAATGGGTATATCAAAATGAGATTCCGCAAGAAATATTTGAAAAATATCTAGAAACGAAGAAAACAGAAAATATTGATGAAATGTTACGCTGTACTCGAATTGTTCATGTTGTTGATCAAGATAAAAAAGAATTTTATCTTGAATTTTCAAAAAAAAATCAAATTCATCACATATTAAACAAGAATCTAGATGAAGAACATCAAAAGGCTTATATAGATTATCTTGAAAGTTTACTCAAACTTGAAATAAAAAATAAAAATTAAATAAATTAACCCTCGTTAGGATATCGTTGCAAATAAAGATTATTTCTCAGAAAGATCCTGATTTTCTGATAAATATTCTGTTGTAACTTCTACAAGGTTTAAGATATGAAAAACATTTTTGAATATTTCATCGCTATCAAATCTGCGGAAACATCTGGAATATAATTTCAAATATTTGTGAAGATTTGAATTCTCAATTGCATAATTAATTAAAAATTCATGTGAATTTAAAAAATCGGTAGATTAAATTTGCATGGGTATAAGAGGAAGTACACAATAATACCCCTGAACTACATACTCTGTAAATGAATAGTGAGGAGAAAGACTTCGCAGAATTTCAAGTGTTTTTATGAATTCTAAAGCCATCTCAGATGTTATATCGACTGCTTTATAAAATAAAACTATAAATTTGAGAAGATAAACAAAATCTTCGTTATTTATAATTGAATTCACGTCATTAAAAAAGTTGAAATAATTTGATATTAGTATATCCGAACATGGAAGAGCAGTTGCATATCCTGGGTAATATTTTAATAATTTTGTAAAGAAATTTGCAATTGCATAAGTTGAATATTGATTTTCGTACTCAATAATACTAGAAAAAATTTCTTTCTTGAGTAAAACTGCGTTTTGGAAGAATTCAACGTCAAGAATATTGTTTTTAATCAAAGCAATAAATGTATCGATGATATAGAGAGAATTGTCACTGCTGCTTATGAAACGTAATATCTCATCATATTGATCGGAAAATGTTGATAAATAAAGGTATTGTATGTTATCTAAAGCTTTAAAATGAATTAATTTTAATGAAAAAATGAAAAAAATCTGTTAATATAATGCGATAAATATTCGAATAAATTTTCCAGTAGTATCAAATCTATTTGAAAGATATTCGAAGAAGTGATATTTTGAATTGTGAATTTTAATATTGTTTCATTTTGTGTAGATTGCTCGATAATGAAATGTATCAAAAGATTCATTGAATATGAGTCAATGGAAAAGCTTAAATCCTTAGGGATATCCAAAATAAATCTTAATAAAGAAGATTCGTCTTGAAAATTAGCTTCCGAAAGTTCTATTTCAGTCGGAGCTGGAAGATTCCGATCATTTATGAATCTCGAAACGACAGAAAATTTGTATTGTTTATATTTCATTATTCGAAATGATAAACTTCAAAATCTAAAATTTATTTTTTTACAATATATTTCATCCTATTGTCAAGGCTAAATTTTTCACCGGAAGTGTATCAAAAATTGATAAGATTTACGGTGATCTAATTATGACAATTCAATGCATCTCGTGATATAACGCAGATATAAACACAACTGATATTGCATAACTAATAATTGAGTCAAATAACTAAATTATGTGTTATATTTTACATATATTTCTTCAATTTTGTAATAAATGGATGTTTAACACTAATTTTTTAAGGACTTCGACTTTAGCATCACATAAATATGTTATTTTCTATATTAAAACGTAATTTTGGTGGTCTTAGAATAGAAAAATATGCAATATTCGTGGAGATAATGAGGGTTCTTAAACATGTTCTTAAAAATAAATAAAATAATACAAATCTTTATTCAATATTTTGATATTGTTGGTCCTCTCTTTGTGAAAATACTTAACTTCAAAGAGTATTATGTTTTACCTAGTGAGGACCTTAAGTTTGCAAAAACATAATAAAAGTAAAAAAAAAAGATCGGATTTATCACAAAACTTTGAGTATTATAGGATTTAATATATTTTCTTAGTAGATTATATGATTTAGTTTCTTAAAATCTAAAGTATTTCTTGAGGAAAATATAAATTGAAATTCAAAAAGTAAAAAAAATGTAAACAAATCAAATTTTAAATGGACCAAATGTTGATTTTTCATTCGTTTTCTCATTATCGAAAAAAATTTGGAAAGCTAAGAAGTCAATAACAAGTTATATAATACAACAAAACCACATCGGATATGTTTTCATCAAATAGTCTCCTAGATTTGTTATGAAATTAAAATATCATGATATTTTAAGGGCTTTTGATTTCAATATTAGAATTATTCAGTTATGTCGTGCTAATATCAATTGCTTTATACAATTAATCGTTTACAAGCTGCAAAAATCGAACAATAATTTGACTTTGTAAAAAAAGTGCGTCATTTTTATTCGTTATACTTACAAAATGTAAACATTACGAGAAATATTTACAAATGTAAATGTAACAAGTAAATACATCAGATTTAAATTGTAAATGTAGTTTATCTCTCTCATCTCCTTTTTAAAAGGTATTACATACATACGAACGCATGGGTCACTCAATAATTAGCGTGATAATAATTGAGGATAGACTGTAATCGTAATTTTATTTTTGGACTTATATTTCGACATTTTGAAGTCGCTTGAAAGTCTTGCAAATGATTAAATTTGGAAAATTTGACCTAAGTCTGCATTATTTTGATGACTTAAACAATTCTATAAATCTGTTTTCCTAAAAATTTAAAAAGATATAATTTCAATTTCCCTAAATTTATGTAATTCATATATCACCAAAATATTTGGACTGCATTTCGTTTGTCTGCACCTAATTAAAGTCTAAATACCAATTAATTTTGGAGTTGCATTGCTTTTAATGTAAAAATGCACGTTTAGAAAAAGACGATAATGATTAAATTACAAAATCGATAACCTCTCATCAAAAAGCATATTTTTCGCGGAGAAAAAAAGAAAAACGCATTTTTTTGGAATTTTGGTGAGAAAGAATCTTCTTTATCTCCTCATGTAGTGCATATTTTCACGTTCTGAGAGCGGAAAACGCATTTTTGGAATGCATAGATTCCGAATCACACGGAAAAAATTAGGTTTTAATAAGAAAATAAACAATTTATGAAGTAGTAAAACATATAGTATTATAAAAATGAAAAACTATTTCCTCATAGCAAATAAAAAAAATAACGTATATTTGTAGTGGGTAGGCATGGATCGAGCCTACTCACCCAATAAACTTTTTATTCGATCTCTGGCCGGCAAAGAGCTAGAGAACCACAACAGCATTAACTTATGCTGAAGTTTTCTGAATTTTTTTCCTAATTTGAAAAAACTTCAGAAAACTTCAGCATAAACAAATTACAGACAAGTTCTCTCGCTCCTTGCTGGCCAAGTACCACACATACTTTACATTAGTGCAATGTTCTTCCCAAGTCTCTCATTCGATTGAGAGGCCTCGGAAGAACATTGCTCTATTCAAGCAATTTTACAGTCTTTGGCCTATAAAAGACCAAAGACTACAAGTATATTACCTTAAGGCAGGATTTTCCCGAGGCCTCTCATCAAATGAGAGACTTCGGAAAAATCCTGCCTTATTCGATTAATTACAAAATTCCTAGCTCTTTAGAAACTAGGGAACAGTAATTAGAGTACTTTAGGGCAAAATTCTTCCGAGATATCTCCTTGAATGAGAGATCTCGGAAGAACCTTGCCCAATTCGAGTAATTACATAATCCTTAGCCCTTCGGGAACCAGAGGATGGCAGCATGAGCCCATGCGGATAATAACGTATAACTAATATCCATAGGAGCGCAATATCTACGCAGCCTGGCTACTATATCCTAGCAGCAAGGCTGTATAGATATTGCACTCCTGGCTTGCAGAACTCTCATGGAAGACCAAGTGGAGATCTGATGCCGAAATCACTTGCTGATGTGGATGGAACAGCACTATGATTGGCCAGATCAAAGGCTGTGTAGCATCCCAGCAAGTGGATAATCGGCATTGACTCCAGCTGCGGTCTTCAATGAGAAAATGACACTTTTGGACTTGGCGCTATTTTTTCAATAGAAAATTTTTGATTTTGGCGGGCAATGTAATTTTACTAATTAGAAGATAGAATATGCATTACAAATACTTATATATTATGAATATCAAATTAAAATAGGAAAATTCATAGGTTTTTGCATTTTGTCCACAAAAGTGAGACAGCCTGACATGAATGCAAAAAGTGACAAATTTTATGATTTTATTGTTTTTGTTCTCATTTACTCTCTCCTCTAACATTATTCTTGATATAGGCAGCTTTAATGTGAGGTGCTGCAAGTTTAAATCAGATTTTCAAGTCACTTTCATTCAAAATTTTGATGGATTATTCGCAGTTCCAACAACAATTTCTGTTAAATACCCAAACACAGTTAACATTACAGAAAATATTAAATTGACGTATGATGAAGCCGAAAAATCATCAATAACTTATGGAAGGTTTGCTTTTCCAGAAACAATTAACAATAATACATATACTGCCGCATTCTTACCATTTTACTTAGATTCTGATATAGAAAAATCTAAAAAATTGTTAAAAACAATACCATTTAACACAACTTTATTCGGTTTCAATTTTGAAGAAACACTAAACATATTTATGAACAGACTAATTCATAGAGCCTCGAATACTGTAGAAAATATTATTGTTTCTTTAATAATTCCAAAATTTTTTACAGAAACCCAAAAAAGTTTACTAAGAAATGCAATTTCAAATGCTAAATTCAAATTCGGAACATTTATTTACGATGACGATACAACTTGGAGTTCTTTGGCATATTTTTGGAATTTTACAAATCGAGACCGAAATAAAGCATCAGTTCTTGTAGAAGTCGGAGCAACATCAATACGTGTTTACACAGGATACATAAAACAATCAGAATCTACAAAAATTGTTGAAAAAATTTCATATAAATATTCTTGTAACGAAGGAGGCCTCTTTATGACACAAAGGATGATGGAATTCTTAATGGATAAGTATAACTTACAAAATTTGAACGAATTACAGAAAATTAAACTATTTCAAATTTGCGAAAAAATTAAACTTCAATTTTCAAATTCTAACAATACAAAAGACGAAATACAAGTTGAATACGATGGAACAAGTCCATTCATGAAGTTTACTATAACAAAAGATGAATATTTGAGCTTATTACGTCCAATTATTGATGAAATCGTAAAACTCGTGAATGAATCAACAGAAAACATCAGTAACTATTCACTAACATTCTTTGGTGGCGCTGGTGATAATCTAGACCTTAAATTAGCTGTTTATAAAGAATTAAATCACGAAATTGAAGAATTTCCTAAATTCACGGATTTGAAGACATATGGTGCTGCAAACATGAAAATACAAATGGATGGATTTAGAATTGGTCAGCCAATCATTAATTTTGGCTCCGAAAATTATAATCCAAAAGATTTGTATATTTCGACACCTGAAAGCTCTGAATCTATTAAACTATATGGTAGTGATATTAAAGCAACTCATGATGAAGTTTTTTACGAAATTTCATCAAAATCAAAAACTTTTATTTTACAGGAGCGTTTACAAGGAAATGTGAGGTTTATTAAGAACTGTAACTACACATTTCGTGCAGAGTCTGAGAAAATAAGAGTTTTTGTTGTAAATGATACAATTTCAAAAATTGAAGCTTTAACAACGAACAACACATGGAAAAAGTTCGACTATTATATTAATCAGACCAATAAATCATCAAATCAGACAATGCTGTACCTTAGTGACCCATATCTTGAAAAATATAATATGAAAACAGCCAAAAAGAAGCTAGAACAGTATATTTCGTACTTAACACAAAACTTACAGCATCAGGATTTCGTTGAATGCTTCCCAGAGAAAATTTCGGCTCTTATTGGAAATATGTTGGAAAAAGCTCAAAGATGGATCTATTTACATGGAGATAGTCAACCAGATGAATCAGAATTTGTTTATTTGTTATCAGAAATAAGTAATTTGACTTCTATTCCTTCACGATTATATACTACTTTGCAAACATTGCGAGATATTGAAAATTTTATTGGTGCAATAATAAATTATCAAAGAATAGAAACGTCATTCAGTGGATTTTCAAATTCATCAAATGTCAAGAAATATCGAGTTTTTATCTTTAATAAACTCATGCAGGAGACATCAATGCTATATGATCTGACTGAAATTGCCATTAAATATGCCAAAGAATGCCGTTCTCCAAATAATATAACAACAATAATTTTTGATGCAGCATCTAAGATTTGGATGAACACAATGAGTTTAACTTTCCATTTTGAGATGAATTTGATCAAAAAATTTACAATAATTGAACGATTTAAGATATTTTTCCTTAGAAAGAACGATGTTTATGAATTTTATGCCTCAAATTCAAGAAAATGCATAGAAGATTTACAGAAAACGATGAAACCATTATACCTGAATGAGAATATTAAGTGGCCACTCGATATTCGAACTGGAAAGTAATATTTTCTCTATTTTGTTTTTAATTATATAATAATAAAGTTAGTTTTGTTTTGTAGAACTGTATTTCTGTAATTTTAAAAGAAATATGAAATATCTCAAATTTTATCACAATTTCATTTTGAATAGATAAGAAATTTTAAAGTAATTGTTCAAAGTTAGTATAAATCTTTAGTATACACGTAGTTTTATTTCGAATTGTGATTTAATTGTTTTGATAATTGAAAACTATCATTTGAATTCTAGGAGTTTGAACATTATTTTAGTTATTTTTTGTCAAATGGGAAATAAAATGGCTTGATATCAAGTAGAGGTGTTCCATCAAATAAATCTAAGCCTTTTACCTTGATATTGTTGGCAGATATTTCTAAAACTTCAACAAGAGAGCAACTAATAGGATTTGGCCTGCTTGGTGATCTTGTTCCAAATACACCAGTAATCGGATTTGCTGGATCTCTTCTTGGATGGCAGGATAATACATCTCTTTGTGCTTTGTCTAACCAACATATTAAGTGAATGAACTTTTCTTCTTCTAAGCATTTCAAACAATCAGTGAATTCTGGGAAAATTTCCACAATTCCTTCTTTTTCATCTCCATTGCCACATTTCGGTGTATCTGATATATCTTTATGTGGGGAGTGAACTATACCAAGTTGTTTTAATGTATATGAAGGTGTTTCAGACATTGACAGATTTCTTAAAAAGTGACAAAACTATCAAATTTTTCTGAACCTTCATTCATAAGTAATCATCATGTTTTTAAAATACCCACAAGATGTATATACCATTCTCAGGTTTAATTTCTTCAATTGTTATATTTTAATTTGATGCTACCAAATCTCAGTGGTTGAGAGGAATTAAACATATGCTATATACAGATAGAATTTTTACAGCATACTCAAAGAGAATAAACACATTCTCGTTAATATTTTATTAAAATTATTCTCAATTACATCCAAGAAAGCGGAACTATTTACTCTCAAACTCCAAATTATCATCAGACTTGTGGTTTGTGTTACCGTTTACCTAAACGAGTCTAATTATAATATTTCTTATATACAAATATCATATATATTTGCATTTAATTCGCTTTACTAATTTATACTGCAGGTGTGCTTTCTGATTATAGATAGCATACATCCTAGAAGCTATCAAAAAAAGGAAATCTGCGTTCTGATATGACATTTTTCCAGAAAGCTGAAATCGATTTTCGGATTCATTAACATTCGCGAAAATAACTCAACAAGAAAGAGAGAGAATTGAGCATTTCACATAATTGAGGTGATTCTTTTTTTATCATTAACCTCCTTTAACCCAAAAATCATAATGTATACATATCATTCATAATATGTGAAACATAAAATTGAAATGAATTTTTTTTATAAAATAAAAAAAAAGTTTTTTGTTAGAGTTCATGACAGACATTTCCCAGAAGGTTAACAAGGAACTAATAAAGTACTGTTGTGACCTCAATGAATTCAAATTCGGCGAGAGGATCGGCGAAGGTGGATTCAGTGAAGTGTTTTTCGCAATACATCAACCCACTGGTATTAAAACCGCCGTTAAAAAGCTCTATTTAAAGAAAATGGAGGGTGATGATCTTGTATTGTTCAGACGTGAGCTTGAAAACCTTGCAGAATGCGACAATATGTTCATTTTACCCTTTCTCGGATGTACATTATCATACCCATTTACGATTATCACAAAACTAATACCGAACGGATCATTATTTGGTGCATTAAAAGACAAAAAGAACAACCCAAAGCTTACAGGCACAGAAAAAACTATACTTGCTTTCGGCATTGCTCACGGAATGGCTTATTTGCACTCACATGGTATCATGCATCGAGATCTCAAGTCATTAAATATTCTGCTTGATGAAAAAAAGTATCCGATAATTTGCGATTTTGGATTATCGAGAAAAGAGAACGAAGGCTTCGTCGAAGGCTCCGCGCAATATGCTACAAGGGATGTAGGTACTCCACACTGGATGGCTCCCGAAATATACAGTAATGCAGGTACATATACGAATAAAGTCGACGTCTACTCGTACGGCATCATTCTTTGGGAGATGCTTGCAGAATCTGCTCCCTTCAACAAAATGAGCCCCGCGCAGATCATGTTTACCGTCTGCCAGAAAAAGGAAAGACCTGCAATTCCTCATGATTCTCCAAAATTTCTTAAGTCCCTTATCGAAAGGTGCTGGAACCAGGACCCTGAAAAAAGACCGTCGTTCGCTACTATCTGCAAGAAGATAAAACATAACCCGATTTTATACGGAGGAACTGTTGTTCCGCATGTAGAGAATTTTATTAAACAAGTTGAAGCAGATGAGAAGACCCGCTGCAAGATTGGTGAATGGAAGGCTCCTCCGCTTACTCCTATGCAGGGAACTCCAAAGAAACAAATGGGAGGATCTCCGATTATGGGAATGCCCCAGAAGATGCAAATGGGATCTTCCCCGATGATGAACCAGCAAATGGTAATGGGTGGCTCACCAATGATGCAAGGCCAGCCTCAAATGGCTCAAGGAAATTTGCCATTAATGAACCAAGGCCCTCATTCTGTTTCGATGCATCAGAGAATAATGCAACAACCACAAGTAATACAACAACAGCAAGTAATGATGCAACAACGACCTCAACAAGTAAATTACGTCATTTTATCTCATCCAGAACGTTCTGACTTCATAGAAGTATTCAACGCTGCAGTTTCAATGATCAATACTCAAAATGCTACGGAATTTTTCTCTCACTTAAAAGGAGCTTGCAAAGATTCAACTCCACAACAAATTTACTTACAATTCCTTCCACAAGTATCTCAAGTCGTTCAATCAGATGTTAATTACTGCCAATGCATGATTCAAACAGGATTCCATTACTTTTTACCTTACAAAACTTCAGGATTATCATCATTATCGCTTATTATATTAAATACAGCAGTTCTCAACTTCCCACAAGTTATTAATACCGATTTACTTAACATTTTAGCACCAACAGTTCAAACTCATGCAAATTTAATCATTGATATCTTAATTTTATACTTTAGAAACGGAAATCACCTTTCAAATAACGCAGAAGTATTTGATTTCATCACAAACAATGCAAATACATTTGTTACAAACTCAGGAGATTACTTTTTGACCTTTTATTACAATCTCATTACAACTTATCAGTCTCAGTGGCCAAACAGGGTCCAGGACATTCCAAAGGTTCTTACCAAAGCGTTTACCTCCCAGAACAACCGCGTAATTAAAGCTGCTTACAAATTTGCCATCGAATTCATTGACCAAAAGGTAACAATCGATTCACTAACGCTCTCTTTGCATATTAAGAATAAGAAGACTCGACGTGTCGCAGCATCTTATCTCGCAAGAATTACTGAATTTGAATATACTCAAGAATTAGTCGACGCTTTGATAGATGCAGCCCAGGATGATAAAGTATGCTTGATCTGCCTCTATAACGCACTTTCCCATAGCACAAAGGCATCTTCTGTCGCTGTAACTTCATCTCTTCTTTGGTCAAAAACTAATCGTCTCTCAATTATTGATAAAATGACGATAACGATTATTTTGGCCTCAAATGAAGCGAACTACAATCTATTAGCGAATTCGGATGGATTTTGTGCTTTCTTAGCTGATATTCCGTTTTCCAAGAACGTTGAATTGATCGACGTCGTTACAGATATAATTATCAAATTAGAACCAACGAAACCGTTCATCCAGACGCTTAAACGAGCCAAGTTCTTCACGAATTACTTCAACTCAGTCCCTTATCTTGGCTCACAGAACGCAATTGTTAAGAGTTTGTATGTAATTTACGTTGTTGGCACTAATTCATACATTGAAGACTTCATGCTATACAAAGGATACCTTATTCAGATGCTAAACATGAATAATGAGTACACTCCGCCAGCTCTTTCCGCATTGGCTGTTCTGACAACGTATCCTGAGGCTGTGAAGTCCTTTAAAGCAATGAATTTGATGCAGATTCTCGGTGGAATAAGCAATGTCCCGAATTACCAGGTTTACATTGACGCAATCACTGCGAACTTGAATAGTAATTGATTTTTTATTATTTGCGATGTTAATTAGTTATTTTTGATTATTTAGTCGATAAATACTATCTATGATTATAACTTTTTAATGTTTTTTATTTATATCTCAAATTTTTTCATTATTTTTGCTTAGATATTAGCAATCTAATCATCTAAGATTCGTTAAGACATGCAATGCATTTCATCAATAGAAGATCTCATTCATTAAACTATGGCGTCTTCAAATCAAATTAAGTTCTTAACTCTACATTGATTTTATATTTGCAGCATTATTGGCAACACTAAGTATTAATGAGTACATCTATAATGAACCCTCTATAATTTTCTTCAAAGCAACAAATTTGAAATTTATACTCGGGAATGCTTTTAAAAGAAGGTATCACACATTGCCATTGATTTACTTCATATTGGAATAAATTTGACCCCATACTTTCAATCCAAATCAGGAATTTCGGTGGATGTTTCAATAATTATATTCATTATTAGTTTAGAAAAGCTATTTGAAAGGAATTTGCATGATACTGATAGTAGATGACATATTTCTTAGTTAATATTATGTATGAAAACTCAATAATAAAATTATAAAAATAATCTTGGTAAAAAGCTGAACAAATTACGCATTTTTGTAAGTAGAGTTGGTAGCGAGTTACAAAACAACACAAATTTTATTAATATACAACAAAATCTATTCTTAGGTATTAATAAGATTTTGATCAGGTTGACAATACTCGTCAAAGAACGTTGGGCATATATCGTCTATTACTGACTTTGGAATAAAAACGTACTGTTTCGAATTTGGTGTACCATCAAGATCGCTTTTTGCTAAAAATGTAATGGATTCGTCATAGTTGTGCATAGGAATTATGGCAGATGCAAAAGGTTTTGGTTTCTCTTGTGATATTTGTTTAAGAAAATTAAAATGCGATTCAACAATGGTTTGATCTATAAGTAATCTTTTGTGTGCTCTATCTGCATTTGCTTCCGGATTTATATCTGCTAATTTTATTTTTGCGATGCTTTCACTGATCGATTCATCGTCATCCTTTTTATCCTTATCGTCTGTTATGATTTCTTTCATTTTTGCTTGCTGATCTTTAACTGGACTCTGTAAAATAACTGCTTTGCGATTAGACATATAAAGATGTCAGTTTTTTGGTTTCTATTGAAATCACTATTTTTATGGAATGTATCGCTGCTATCACTCATATTTTGTGTTTTTTGGTTTTTGTATGTCATAATGGAGGTATTTAGCAAACTTTCATATAAAGAGTATTAGATTGTCACTTTTTATGTAAAATAATGTACGTTACAAATTAATTCTAAAATTTAATGTCTGGGAGTCCAAAGAAAAGCCTATTTGGCGACGTAGGCGATCGAGGACCTCAACCAATTGATGACAATCGTCTTGCAACAAATAGTATCTTTCAGTCGCCTAAAATGGAAAAGAATAAACCAAAAAGATACGTTTATGATAACGATAAATACACAATAGCTATGCAGAATCAGAGATATATGGGAAGTCAACGTAGCACATCTTCAAATCGATCAAAATTATCAAATTCCTCGACAAAAGAATCTCAATTTCCAAAATTATCAAAGAATAATTCAAATAAAACAAAAGAAAATCATAGAAATGACGCATTACCTCCTATATATGCTATAAACAAATTAATTCCCGATGATAAACCAACAGAAACTGATTTTGAACCAATTAAACCAGCAACTCAAAGCGATATTGATGCATTTTTATTACCATCTGGTTTTCAGGTTGAAGGAAATACGCCAGCAATGTCTCCTAAACCATTTCCTTCATCTTCTGCTGAATCGGAATTTACTTCTCAGCAAATTTCATCCATTGAAAATGAATTCAACTCCAATAAACAAAAAACAATGGGAATAAAGTTCCCTATTACAGTTCCTTCTGATAAAGAAAAGGCTTCTGAAGATCAAGACTTAGAAAAAGATTTAAACAATGAAGATGCAGAAATTGAAGAACCACAACAAGAAGAACATGAAATATATGAAGAGAGAATACTTTCTACAGCAGAAGTTCAAACTCCTGAATCTTTTTCAAGAAAATCACCACCGATTGAAACAAAAACACCTTATAACGAAGATATACAGAATATCTTAGCAGAAGAGGAAGAAGAAATATCGATAATGCCACCTCGTTTACAAGAAATTGTAAATGATCAAAAAGGATCTCTTGCTTATCTTGCATTAAACGGAGCAAGTTTGCTTGGATATAAGATAACAAAGATAAAGAAAGCAATTAAAGATCTCAAACTTATTCTAAACAAATGCATTGAAAAAGGATTTGTTTCAGAATCGATTTATGTTGATAATACAATCAAAAGAGCATCATCAGAACTCAAGTTTGTACAAGACAGTCAAGATAAAACAAAAGAAACGATCTACAAACTCGAAGATCAACTTTTCATGAATCAAACAGAAATGAAGCAAAAAGAATTTTTTTTCGAGTCATCAAAAGCAAAGTTAACAGCGGATAGAGACTTAGCACAAAGAGAATTACTTATACATCTTGAAGAAGAACTCGAAGCACTCGATCAAGAATGGTTTTCTCAATCAAAAGCTGACCAATTTGCAAGACCATCGGCAAAACTCCAGAAGCTGAGGAAAGAAGCTTTAAATTTACTTCAAATGAAGAGATTCGAAGAGGCATCATCACTGAGTGTTGATATTGATCAACTCGTGGAGAAAGAAACAGTTGCAGCAATGCTAAAACTCAAATCCAATTACGAAGCAGCAAAAATGAAAGTACAAAAGAAATTTTTACAAGATTCAGCCGCAATTGATGAAATGTATGAAAGGAAGGTTCAGATGATTGCCCAGAAAAAGAAGAAGATTGATAACGTTTTAACACGAAGAGCAGATAAAATAAACAACAAAAAACAAGTGTTAGAACTGAAACAAAAAGAAACTCAAAGAAGGAAAAAAGTTCCGGCATCTGCACCCCTCTCGCCAATAAAGACAGCTCACACTGTCACAGCAGCTGATATCAAACCTCCTGGAGCAGCATTGCAAATGAGACCTATAACAAAGATGAGAAGGAAAAGAGAATAATTTTATTTGTATTTTATTTTTTATATTTGTTTATAAATTGTTATGTATTTTTATTAAGATCAGGCTAACCAGTAGCACATTGCTTTTTGAAAACATTTCTCTCATTTTTAATATTTCAAATTTCTCAAATCTCCAAATCTAATTTAACTTTACCGGTATTTTTTGCACACTAACTTGAGTGTACAAATTTGGTAACTAGAAATAATTATCAAATTAAATTTATTTTGTGGCCGAGCAAATTGAATGAAAAATAATCGGCATGGCTGGACCTCTTTGGAAAAGTAATGCCTCGTTGCCAACGCTTCCACCTTAAGCGCCTCACAGCCCCACACCACTGGCTTCTCGCTAAGTCCGCTGGTAAGTTCGCTTCCCACCCATCCACAGGTCCACACAAACTCCGTGAATGCCTTCCAATCAACATCTTCCTTCGTGACCGCCTTAAATACGCTCTTACAGCTAAGGAAGCCGTCGCTATCGTCAAGCGCCGCCTCGTCAAGGTCGATGGCAAGGTCCGCACAAACTATCGTTATCCAACAGGTTTGATGGACGTCATCGGGCTCGGCAAGTCCAACGAACTCTTCCGTATCATCTACGACTGCAAGGGCCGTTTCTGCGTCCACCACATCGAAGCTAAGGAAGCCTCCTTCAAGCTTCTCCGTGTCAACCAGTTCAAGATTGGTGCCAAGGGTATCCCACACGTCGTTACACACGATGGCCGCACAATCTCCTATGTTGACCCATCCGTCCGTGTCCATGATGCTCTCAAGTTCAACATCAAGACAGGCGAAGTCGAATCCGTCATCAAGTTCAAGGTTGGCGATGTTGCCATGGTTACAGCTGGTGGTAACGTCGGCCGTGTCGGAACAATCCAGAAGATCGAGAAGCAGATGGCTTCCTTCGATATCGTTCACCTTAAGGATACATCTGGCGCTGTCTTCGCCACACGTATCATGAACGTTTTCGTCATCGGTGAGAACGAGCACCCACTCATCAGCCTTCCAGCTCGTGAGGGTGTCCGCCCATCCATCCTTGAAGGAATCAACCAGGAATAAATTAGATTTAGCATTTACGAGCAAGTCTAGCGTACTTGTTCTTATTAGAAATTACCTTTTATTTTTATTTTTTTTAATTTGAGATTATTTTTGAAATTTTCGCTAGAACCATGAGGTTTTTCGTAAAATCTATCAAGATTATCACCAAAAATATTTGATTCAAGCACCGTTAATGACATTTCGAGCAATGATAAATATTTTTCATTCAAAATCTCTTTGTAACTTCCTAGGAACCAAATACATTGAAGATATCTCACATCTTATAGTAAAAACATCCCACAATAGTACAATTCCCTAAAACATGCATAAAATCTTTTTAATTTTTGGAATGTTCTATTTTTTTTTCTATGAATAGATCTATAAACACCTTTTACATGATAAAAAGTTAAATAAAAACAAACAAACATTAATATATATTTAGAAATCATCGTCGCTTAATTCATCAAACATTTGCAAAGCTTTAGCCATAAGATCTTCTCTATCTTTAACTCTTCTTTCATCATCGCGAACTGCTGCACAACCCTCAGGCCAAGCTCTGAAGCATCTCCTCATTATCGAACGATTCATTTGTTGAACAGCAGCCATGAATTTCGCTTTCTGCCGCTTCCTCTTTTCAACAATTATCGCGTGCAGTGTTGAGTGGAGCAAATATTTATTATGCATCTTTTGACAATTGAAAAATTTCGTCGCTGTTACATTTCTCAAATAAAGCCAACCAAGGAAAGCCTTTCTTGTGATGTTTTCTGCGTAAAATTCTTGTGCCTTTGCAGTTCTCTCGTCTTCATTATCCTTTTGGTTCATCCTGAAAGCTAATAATCCATAAGATAATAATTTATCCTCTCTAAATCTTTCACTTTTCTCTTCAAGTTGAATTCTAATATTCAAAATTTTCTCCCAACACTTGAATTGGTTGTAAACAATTCTTCTGAGTCTAAATTCTTTAGATGCAGTTTGGATATATTTCTTTCTTTGAAGAGCTTTCTCAAATTCTTCTTGCATCTTTTGTTGTTCTTCTCTCTTCTTCTTTTCTTTTTCTAAGAACTGCATATGCTCAAGTTTCTTCTTTCTTTGTTCTTCAATTTGGAGTTTCGCTTTTTCTTCTTCCTCTTTTTCAGCTAATTGTGCTTCTCTTGCTGCTTTCTCGAGCTTCTTCTTTCTTTGTTCTTCAGCTCTCTTCTCCATTGCTTCAATTCTTGGATCAACTTTAAGAGGTTTTGGTTTGGACTTCGGAATCATTGATTTTCTTGGAGGAGATGAACTTACAGAGCTCTTTTCTGAATTTGTTTGGTTCTCTTCAGTTTGATTTTGAATTTGTTGTTGTTTCTCTTCAATTTTATTAATAAGAAGAGCTCTTCTCTTTTTATGTTGTTCTTCTATGATTTTCATCTCAATCTGAGCTTTATATCTCGATGTCCATCGAACAAAAGATTTTTGCATTTGATGACGAACATAAAAGTTAATTGCGGCTTCTTCCATTTGTTTATCCTTTCGCAAACGCGATTCTAGCTCATCAAGTTCTCTTTCATGTTTCCTCCTGTAATAGCGAGACCTCCAAAATGAAAAACATTGAGTCATTTTTTGGAAATTGTTAAATGCAGCAGCTCTCTTGTAGTTTTGGGAATGATATGAACATCTTGATGACCAGAGTGTATAATATCGACGTATTAATCGTAATCTAAGTGTTTTATATAGTAGTTGCAGTTGTTGTTTCATTGCTTCTTCATTTATTTCTTTCGACTTCTTTTCTAGTTTCTTTTGCTTCTTAATTTGTTTCTTTTCTTCTTTGGCGATGGATTGTTGAGCACTTTCTTCAATTGCTCGTATTTGAATGGATTGTCGATTTTTCTCTTCTAATTCTTTGATTTTTTCTACTGTTTTTTGGGCAATTCTTTCTTTATAGCTTTTAATATCGCCCTCAATATCAGGTAGAGAAACTTTTGGTGGTAATCCAACTTTAGGAGGTGCTTTTTTTGTAGGAATTTGCATTTGCTTCGCTGCTTGTCTTTCAAGACGTTGTGCTTTCATTTCTAATATGTGTTTTCTTCGTGCTTCCATGATGAGTGTCGGATCAACTGATGGACGATCTGTCTCAATCTTTTTCGCAACCATCATTGGTGTATCAAGTTTTCTATATACAGCCATCTTTGGTTTGGTTGGAACTTTGGTTCTTGTTGAACTCGGTTCCGGACAAAAAGATTCTGTTTGAATTGACCATGATTCTAAAAGTTTTCTTGCTTCAGAAGTTGTGTCATCATAATCTACATCTTCTATCTCATCTTTTGTTTTCTGTACCATCCTCGCCATCCATGCACTGATCTCTGGGTCATCCCCAGAATTTCCATGCATTTTTTATAAAAAGTGTACGTTTAAAAATTTGACATTACAAAAAAAGTTTCTCTTTGTTTTCGAATCTTTGGAGCAAATTTTGATTCATTTATCTTTGTTTTTATCATCAAATAAGTTCATACTGCAATATGAATATGCAATTTCATAATTTCATATTATCTTTCCCCCTCAATACTAATTCAACTCCTTTTCTGATGTCTATTATCTTGTTTCAATCAGACATATTATTTGACAATGCAGAATTAGTATGAAATCAAGGTAAATACTCTATCATCAATGAGGAAAAATCAAAATAAAATTTCAATTTTCCTTGATTTTGATAATAGTACAACTAGATAATCATGCAAATTAAATGTATAATATAAACGATAAATCTTTATTTAGTATTTCTAATAAATGTTGTAATATCTCTAAGAGCAACGTCAGACATGTGGAATTCGTAAGCAGAATATTCAAATCCTTCGAGTTTTTGAGGGCATGGCATAAGCATGTGGTCGCAGTGGTCGTAATTCTTAATAGTAACATTCTTCTTCTGAGAAGTGAATTTTATCCACTGATCCTTCTCTTCTTGCTCAACAATTTGATCGAAATCGGAGTTAAGAAGGAGAATTGGGATATCTTCTGGGAATTGGTTGAAATCGTATTCGACCATTGGGAAATTCTTAAGAGGCTTAGCAGCTGGGTTAATTAAGATTGCACCTTTGATGACTCCTCCGAATTTGCGGAGAATTCGGTTCATGAACAAAGCACCGTGGCCCTGGAAAATAATAAATATATCTGTGATATCAGATCGGGCCATGAGTTGCTGCATGAGTGCTGCGGCATATGCTGAAGCTGGTTCTGGGGCATCAAGCATGTCTTCTGTGAATTCTCCTCTAATAAATGCAACATTTGCTGAAGAAAGGTATTCATAGTCTTTGTAAATGAATGTATATCCGATTCTTCCATCAACATTTAACTGCCATTGCATGTTAATAATAAAAGCTGCTGGATATTTATCTCCAGCTTTTGTAGGACGTGAAATAACAATTTTTGGATCTTCACTTAATTCTAAACGCTCAAATCTAGTCTCTTTGATGTACTCTGGTGGATGATAAATGCAGCATCTACCGTAATTAAATTCAACAACTTCTTGTTTATCGTTGTAAGCTACAAGAGAAAACATTCTTACGTTTTCAATGTAGCAAATAACGAATGTCAATATGACACCTGGAACTTTTGGATGTGCTTTTGCACCAATTGCTCTATCAATTCTGTCAACAACTCCATAAAATTGTTCTAGCTGGGCAATCTGCTTTGCAAAATTAACGTATGGGAAATTCTGTTTGACGTCTTCATTCCATGATTCATAAAAATCTGAAAGATTTCCTTCTATAAAGACTTGCTCCATTTGTTCAACGGCACGCTTGTGGAGCCAATCTGGGACGTCATGGATATCTGCTACTTTAATGTATGGTAATGGAATTGTGCTTAAAATCTCTTCATCTGACATTTCTAAAAATATAATCAAAATCAGTCAATAACACTAATATATGATAAACTTTGAACTAAAATGAAGAAATTTCATAATTTGATCGCCTAAAATCCAAAAATACAAATTGTTGCAAATCTCCAATATGCAGTTCGAGCAAACCTCTATCACAACATATTTATAAATCACCAACATGATTAAGATCTTTGATTGGCATTGACTTACCAATTAAATATGGAGTGGCCACATATTCTAATCAAAAAATCAATCCAGATATTATCAATATTCACAGTACTATATATACTCTACTTATAACTTTGATTTGCAGCATTGAATCAAAACTTTGAATCAAATTCAATTTTGAATTAAAAAAAAATATTAAATATAAAATGTGTTGTGTTGTGTGTTTATTTAAAAAATATGAACTTAGATGTTGCGGATGCGGAACTGTGTTCTGAGATGAACTGTCCAGCAGAAGAGTGCGAAGGCAGCGATGACAACGAGTGTCTCGATTGGGAGCTGTGAGAACCATGTGACGACCTTGGACTGAACAGCAACCTTTGTAGAGACAACTGGTGTTGTTTCGCCAATACGGTAGAGGTCAACTGTGTACTCACCGTGAAGGAACTGTGTTGGGATTGAAACGCGAGATTTGGAGAGTGTCTGTGCAGCACTGAGTCTAGCAGCAACTTGGCCGTCTGGTGTCATGACCTTAGCGACGAAGAAACCACCAGTGATAGCCTTGTTGTTGAACATTGTTGTGTAGTCGATTGTGATAGCATCAGATGTCTGGACAATCTTGTGGTCGAAAATGATTTGGCCTTCGATTTCGTACTCCTGTGTGAGCTTCTTTCCGTTGAACTCGAGTGGAAGATACTCTTCACCCTTGCGGACAACGATTTCAGCTGTGAGTTTGCCACTTGGAACGGAAGCGTCGATTGTGAACTCGACACTCTCGAGGCCCTTCTGGTCGCATGTAGCTGTCTGCTCGGCAACAACGCGGTCGCCCTTCTTGAGGAGGATGACTGGGAATGCTAAGCCTGGAAGTAATGTCTTTCCGACGTTCTTCTCCTTGACAACTAACTCAGCCTTGATTGTCTGGCCGTATGTCAACTTCTGTGGCTTCTCGAGACCCTTGACCTGTTCAGCGATGATCTCTGAGTTCAATGTGACAGCGATTGGTTCCTGTAATGAGAGAGGAACTGTGAATCCCTCGGAGTTCTTGAAGACGAACTCGATGTTGAAGCCTGTAGCGAGATCGATGTTCTCATCAACTGTTGTTTCGAACTCGACTGTGATGTTGTGTTCGACAACCTTGATTTCGCCATCGACTGTCTTAGCAATAGCGTTGCCGCACTTGAGAACCATCTGGTACTTCTGTGCCTCGGCTGGGCCACTTGGGAAGAAGCCTTCTGTGGAAGCATCCTTGAGATCTTCGCCAAATGACTTCTCATCGTTGAACTGTTCGACAGCACCATCAACGATGACACCTGGAACCATGGAGACCTTGAGAAGTTCGCCAAGCTTTGGTGTGGAGTTGATCTTGTGGGAGATAACTGTCATGTTGGCGTGGTAGAGGTAGCGGAACTCCTTGCGTGTGTGGATACCGTGCTGGCGGTCACCAATTTCGACAGAGAACTTGACGTAGCCGTCTGGAATTGGGTTCTTTGGATCGAATGTCCACTGGAATGTGTGGTCAGGCTTGAAGTCAGCAGAGTCGTAGAAGAGGAGGGCTTCGGATGAATCGTAGACAGCGAATGTGGCCATTGTGCCTTCTTCGATTTCGATGCCGTCTTCGAATCTGCCGTGGAGGACAGACTTGACAGCAGCACCTGGTTCGATGATGCCGCCAACTGGAATGACTTCTTCAGCGCCAGCTGTGACATCGCAGGAGATATCAACTGGAAGGGAGACTGATGTCTGGATGTTCTTTGTAACATCAACCTGGTGGCCTTCACGGATTGGAAGCCATGTCTGGATATCGAATGTAAGTTGGCCGAGCTTTGTAGCTTGTGTGTATCTGTCACCCATCCAAACACCGTTACGTTCATCGAAATCAAGCTTTGTGTCAACGGACTTTTCATCGCCAATTGTTGTTGTAAGGTTGATGGAAAGATATGGGTTGACGAAGCGCTTAAGGATACGGGCAACAGCAGCTGGGCGGACAACCTGGCCAAGTGTAAGACCACCACGGCCAAGTTCTAAGACCTGGTTATCTGTTGTAATGGCGAAGAGCTCGATATCAAGTAAACTCTCGAAGATTCCCTGTGAAACGAGGAGGCGTGTAAGAGAGAAGAGATCGTTGATTGTTTCTGGGACTTCTGGGTTCTTGAGCTCTTCTGGGACATCATTAGCGCCTTCTTGGTTAAGAGCGTTAAGGAGATTGCCAATCTGGTAGAGTGTGATGTTCTTAGCCTTGATGCCGTCAGAAATGATCTTCTTGGAGTACTGATCAGCACGATAGTTGTTGGACTGGAGAGAAATGGCTCTGGAGATGGCTGTACCGTAGATCTGAGCATCAATTTCATTGATGCCATCGAAAGAGTAGCGGTCATCCTGTGTATGGTCTGTGATGTAGTTACGGATGGCAAAAGTGTTGAGCCATGTAAGTTCGTTCTCAAGCTTGTTGAGGGTGAGGTAGGCGAAGTGTGTGGCTCTAACTGATGGGTCAGCATCTAATGTATCGCGGAAGAGACCAGAGTTAGAATCATAATGGTTCTTAAGGAATTCAACGATGGATGGGATATCAAGAGCGTTTGGTAAGATAATTGTGGCGGCCTTGAAATAGTAGTAAGTGGCCTCAACTGATGACTTTTGGCCTGGTGACATGCCAGCACCGCCATCACGGTTACGAAGGGATGTGATGAAGCGCTGGGCATTGGAGAAGTCCATGTTCTTGAAGAGGCCATATGTGAAGCCTAAGTAAATGGCGTGGTAGGTAATTTCTGCTGTTGGTTCCTGACCAGAAACTTCGTAGAAACCACCGTTAGCATGCTGTTTCAATCCGATTTCAGCGAGTCTCTTGCCGAGAAGATATTGATCAATACCGGCAGAGTGAGCTAAAGCAGTAAAGAAAAACATTTTTGACGAACCGAAATATTGAAAAGTGACATGGCAAATTGATCATTTCTCATTCATTTGCATTTCACAAGCTAATAACCATAATAATATCAATATATGAAGCATGATAACTTATTTTGATTATCACTATTGATAAGGTTTTTTGTGAATGTACAAAACTGGAAGCATTCACTTATAAGATATTGCAAATATAGCATCAATCAGATGATTATGCCTACCAATAGTTATTAAGCATTCAAATCGGTTGTTTTGATTTGAAATAATTGCAATTAGCAGAATCAACAGCCCTTGATAGCTGTAGATTAAGACATTATCGCAAATTTCAAAATTCTTACTAATTATAGAACTAACTATGATGTGGAAATAATAGATTATGAAGAGTTAGAAATGTTTACTAAAGTTTGTAAAAAAAGAGAAAGTTTATTAACTTTAGAAATACTTTTATTGATAATTGCAAATTCTGCTTGGCAATTACCAGTTGAAAAATGAATCAAATTGTTAGTAAATGGTTCTCTTGGATTAGTAGGTACTACAGTTCTATAAAATGTTGATGAAATCGAATTGTCAATGTAACAACTATCAACTGTTGTTTGTTCATTACCATCGTTATATATCAAACATGAATATTTAGGAGCAGTGTTGTTAATAAAAGAACAACTTTTTACAGTAAGAGAATTATATGAATGGTAAATAATTCCTTGATTTGATTTTGTTTTGGTATTATTTATAATATTACATGAATCAATCAACGCGTTATTCCAAAAATTTATTATTTCACCTGCAGCTAAATTATTAACAACAGTTGAGTAGTTAAATTTTGTTGTGTATTTACGAGATTCGCATCTAAAATGTCCAACAGGTTTAAGAGCTTTGCAAGATGAGAAATTTGTTGATGACACTACAATATTATCATTGAATGCACTTAAAGCATCAATACTAACACCTTCTTTTCCTAAATCGAAAAGGGAACTTTCAATAAAAAAGTTATCTTTATCAACATTTGTAAATGAAAATTGGCCTTGCCCGGTGCTTTGGCATTTCGTACAACAGAATTTTCGTTGAATAATTGAACTATCACTGCCAATTTTGTAGTAAATGCAACTTCCACTTAATGTTGAAGTGCATTTACTAAAAGAACACCGATTATGTAGAAACAAAGCATTGGAGATGGGTTCGAAGCTGATAACGCGGTTATTATCATCAAAAAAATTGCAATTATCTAAGTAATATTGACCATTTAATGATGATGGATTGCAGTTTTGGCATGATTTGATTTCTTGGCCTGTAAATTGAATGTTATAGTATTTGCTCCATGGGTCGTCATCTTCTTCAGATGACTTCCCTGCAAATTCATGCAAATTGGCAAAAAACGGTTTCTACTTCCCCTGTGAAATTCTAGTGCAATTGCATCAATATGAATAGCAAGTGCTTTCGTTTCTAAATAATTCGTTAACACTCTTGGAATATTGGATATACTGGGAATGTTGAGATTCATAAACTTTTTCGATACTATTTGAAGGAATAGGGATAGCTGATAGCACCACAAAATCAAAATTATGCAGTAAATAGTAGTTATTTTACATGTAATTTTGATTAATCTACTTATTATCAATTAATCTTATCGATAATTGTACTTTATACGTCTTCTAATGATGATTTTTTATTAGAACTATCCAGATAAAGAGTTTTCTGCAATTCGAAACTATTGATCCATATAGAATTCATATAATCATACCTCAAATTGTTGAAGTATTAGTTGTTTAGAAAGAAATTATTAAAGATTCATTTCCAAAATAATGATATAAATACTTTAGAGCTAAGAAAAATTATAAAACAAGAATTATTCGGTAACTACAATTGATTGATAACTCATTTCAAACGAGTTCGGATTCAATTGAGAAGATTCTGAGAGCTTCGCCGATTGAAATCGGATTTCCATTCATGAAGTATTCCGCGAGAACCCTGATAACTCTGTTTCCTACTTCAGAATCGAATTCGTCATCATAATACGTTTCCAAAACGTCCCTACTGAGTTCTGAGAAATATTGAATTTGATCTAGGCTGAATATACGAGCGTATTCAGTAACGTGGTATTTATCGCATCTATGGAGTAATTTGTACTTCCATTCTGTAGTGTTGATGTTTGGAGGCATTTTCTCATCGTACAATTCCTGTAATAAAAGGATAAGACCCTTGAAATGCTGTATGATGTTTTCATCATATGAATGAAGATAAGGATGATTCATCAAAGCTTCGATATCTGGACGGGCCTTTGGATCTCTTTGAAGACATTGCTTCATAATGTCAATAAGGAATGGTAATTCTGGGGGATCTTCTGTATATTCAAGTGAACCGTACTTAATTTCATAATTTCCACAGATGGCTGTTACTTTTGCAATGGGCTGATCTTGTGGAAACGGTAAGCGGCGGTACACCAGACGATATAAAATGCATCCTAGTGCCCAAATGTCTGCTGGACGACCGATCTTACTATCATCATCAATGTTAACGGCTTCTGGGGACATGTAGTTAAGTGTACCAACTTTAATATCGCGTGTAACACTTGTTGTGTCATCATGAATTGCAACACGGGTAGCAATGCCAAAATCAATCAGCTTGAGACGTTTGTTGACCATAAGAAAGTTTGCAGGTTTGAGATCTGCATGCAAAATCTTTCTTTCATGGCAAACACGAACTGCGGCTAGCATTTCCTGCCATGTTTTATGTATGAAATTTGAATCAAACTTACTTGGTGCGTTATCAAACTTTTCTTCAATTATTTCCTTCATTGAGTATCCTCCGAGCTCTTGAACGATATACATTGTACTACCTGTGTTATCATATTCATACATATGAATGATTTCTTTTGAATCTTTAAACTGTTGTAGTATTTCGACTTCATTCATTAAAGAATTCAATACAGCATCTGAAACTTTCGTCAAATCGACAACTTTGATGGCAACTTCTTGACCTTCTGGATTCCTTGCAACATAAACTTTGGATGTACCGCCTTCACCTAAAAGGTTAAGAATTTCGTAATAATGTCCATTTACTTTGACGATGTTTTTATCTTTTGGTGAATCATTATTAACTCTGCTGGATGTAAAACGAGATTCGAATGATTTTGTTATATTTGATGGAGGTGATTGTTTCGTAGACTTTGTTCTTTGTGGCTCTCCACCCCATGCATTAATTGATAAGCTATTACTGCCATTGTGTGAAATTCCTTTTGTAACATCGCGAGAGGCTTTGCCAATCCTGCTGAGTTGAGAATTAGCTTCTGAATGTGAAATGCTCCCAAGGGCTGTTCTCCCAGCGCGATTGGACATTGTGGACGTTTAAGAATTTGAGAAAGTGTGCGTTTATTTTGTTAATGATTGAATTTATGCGATGATATGATTCAAATATTCATGTATTAATTACACCTAAGTTACAGCAATATCAATTCAAGAATAAATGCAGTTCATCCAAAAAAAAAATCTCAAATTCCATGTTTCATGCTGATGGATTCTGCAACTAAATAAACTTGAAGAACAATATAAAAACATATCATTATAGTTAAAAGCAACTCAAAGATCATCTAAAGTTTATCGGTGTGTGGCATAATAAAGGTGTGAAACAATGAAAAAGTGTCAACTGGCATTTTTTTTCGGAAAATTTGCCATTAAAAATTTTTCATGGCTCCCAGCGACGACTCCAGATATTGCCCATTTCTTGTTGATGATGTTGACCTTCTTCAGAACTTTCTCTCACAAAAAGGTGCTAATTCCTCTGAAAAAATCGAAAAATTGTCACTTTCAATAAATGTTGGCCCCAACGATGCAGATTTATATTTGGATTTGGAACTCTCTAACATTCCTTTAATGCATGTGTTAGCCTTTATGAATTGTATTGATTGTATTACATATTTGCACCGAGAATACCATGTGGATCTATTGCAGCACACAAGCAATTCATATTCTACACTCCACTATGCAATTCACGGACATGCAGAGTTAGTTATTGCATACATCTTAAGATTCGCACCTCATGACAAAATTATTAGGATTATTAAGGATGAGAAACAAAGACAATTTAAGTTAGTTTATTTGGGCATCTCCAGTAACTGTTCCTATGGCTTACAACGCTTATTAGAATTTGATTACGTTCACAACGCCGAACTTTCCACTTTTATGAATGAAATCGATTGGGCTACAAAAAGAAACTCATATGAATGCTTAGAATTTATTTTCAATTACTTCGTTGTCAAATTCAACGGAGATTCTCCATTACGCAACGCCATTGCCAGACAATACCCCAAACTCGTCAAGATACTTCTCAGATCAAATCCAACAAGCGCCAGGCCACAAGATATCGTCAACGGACAAACAATTCTCGATTTGGCCTGTGGCTCCAAAGGAACGGACCCAGATGCCACGATTGATATTATTAATACAGTCCTTGATTACTACAACGTAAGACAAGATGAAACTGCCATTTTCGCTGCATTACAATCCGGAAATCTCCAAATTGTCAACAGAGTCATTAAGATGGGCTGTAAAATCAGTAATGTCCTTAAGGATGGAAGGAATCCTGCCGGAAAACTTTGTTTCCTTGATGAAGACGAGGCAATTCAAATTCTCAAAGTTATGATTGATAAAGGACTCGATATAAATTATACAGGTCCGAGCAGGAACACTGCTTTCGGTGATTTGCTCACTTGTCTTAAGAAACCATTCCATTTGCTTGATTATATGCTCGAAATCGGCGCAGACATGACCAAACCATATTATAGGAATCTCAGTGCAACTGAATCTAATGAATCAATTGCTGCTTTCGTTAAAAATAATCAGAGCAAAGAATTTCAGGCATTAGTACGAAATCATCCGAAAAGCTTCGAAAGGATTAAGTAATCTAAAACCATAATTTTAAATTTAACATATTTCAAAAAGAATTTTCAAATTTTTAAATTTTTTAATTTTTTTGAAGTAAATAATGATCGACACTGTATCATTATGATTATTTCCTAGAAATGTCCTTTTCATTAGTGAATTTACTAAAGTTAATTAAAAATCTAATTTCCAAATTCATATTTGAACTGAGTTTTGAAACAAATACAAGCACATCATCTTTAATGTAAGGATTACAACATGAGATTAAGTTAAGATATAATATCATAGCCATATTTATCTAAGAAATATTGAAATAACATCATATATTTGGAAATTTCTATAATGGTATATTTTAAAATAGCTTCATAAAAAGATATGGATCAAATATTAGCTTCCAATATACATTACTTTTCATAGAAACATCGAAAGTAATGGAGTTATAAAATAAAAAGTGACAATAATTATGTTATTCTTCTTAACTATCCAATATTTTAATGAAACATTCGAAAATGATCAACCGAATAATAAATGGAATATAATAGGTGAATCTGAGAAATTAGAAATTGCTCAGTGCAGCGCATCTTTTCAATTTTTAATTCGAAATTGCTTACATGTTAATAATACAGACAAAAGATTTCATGCTTCTGCAGAAATGAAGACAGAAATTACAAGTACCCCGTTTTTAGTTCAATTTACTGCAAAAACTCAAATGCCAACAACTGGTTCTTTAATTTCACTTTCAATGTTAAATGGCGAAGAATCAGAAGTTGAACTAACACTTACATATTCAGATGATGATCCTCAATATGCATTTATCGATTCTTCCCAAAATAAAACTATCGGAAATATAACACACGAACGTGATTTAACGCATCACATTACTTTAGTTGTGAACACAGATAACACCTATTATATTTATGCTAATGGAATTATCCTCAAAGGAGGAGTTTTGTCGAAACCAATCAAATTCCCACTCAACAAGGTCGAACTTCTTGTTGAAAATGGAAATACTACATCTCAAATAGGTAATATTATTGTTACTAGTGATATTAAGGATAGATATCCTTTATTAATCAGTACTTTTCTACAATTTCGTCAAATAGAGAGACTAGATCGTCTCAGAGTAATTGTCGATGCAGAAGAAATGCGCCTCTTTGATGGAACACCAATAGATGAGCCTCTTGATCGAGAAGATGAATATGGAGTACCATTAGAGTTTAGTAAAGCAGATCCACGAAACTTTAATTTCCCTTTCAAGTTAGAACGACCAAAGGAACGTCTTTCAAAGCTTAAGGAAGCCCAGAGACCATCAACTCTCGATAAAAGAATGCAAAAGAAGGACTTTGATCCATTAGCTAACAGTGAAACTCAAGAAAGAGCTGAATTGTAAAATACGGACTAGTAATAAAATATTATTTATAAGAATTTTAATTTTTATTTTAATATACGCAATAACTTAATTTACAATATCCCAATATTTAGATATTCTTAGTCCAATCAATATATAGTAAACAAAAAAATATCACCAATTTTTAAAATTGTTACTGACTTTCTTACAATAGAAATACAAATAATTTTATTCACAAACAGGCATTGATAGACGAGAAAACTGAAAAGTTAAATCCACAAGTTGCTCTTGTAAATAATCTCTCCCAAAGTCAGCAGGAATTTGCATTGGCTTTGCTTCAAGCTTTTCTGGTACAAATTGAAACTTATATTCAACTTCTGGTACGTTTTTCTCTAATTCGACTTTTTGTAATGCTTCTGGTGAGAGAACATATGTGGATTTATAAGGTTTTGGTATATCATCTTTTGTTATTTCTATTTTTGTTTCAGCTTTGTTAACGATTTTTTTTCTATTAAAATTAACTCCTGGAGAAACGGCTTCAAAATGTTCATCATCCAAATTTTCGTTGTATTTTTTCTCGAGTCTCTGTAGAACAAATCTCATCATCGCCGTAGAATTCTCTGGTGCTGCCATTTTTTTGATACTTTGATTTTAAAAAGTGATATTTTTAAACGTCTATTTCTATCAATTGTGTTGCATCCTTTCTTCTACAGCAAGAAAGATATAAGTATAAAATGCAACGGAAATTGTTCCTATTATTTTTAAGACCAAAAAGTCAGTAATAGCAAAATAAAAAATTCGAAATTCAAATTTTTCCTGATTTAAGCGCAAGTCTAATTCCAATTGTAAGAAATATAGCATACTCAATAATTATTATTTAGGATTCCTCAACTTTTAAAAATACCTGGCAAATTTAACAAAAATAAATTCTTTTGATCTTCAAAATCATTGGAATTGAAATCTTCGAAATTACAATTTTTTTGACTAAGGGTTTCGTTTTGCTAAAATTGTCACTTTTATAGCATATTTGTTTTTGGATGTTTTGCGAAACCAAAAAAAAAACTATGATATACAATGTGTGTGTAAAGAAAATACTTTATTTACTAGTTAAAAAATCATTTGGTATTGATCAAAGGTGACCAAACTATTTTTTGAAAGTCCGCCATAACTTTAATGGTACTATTTCAGCGTGTACAATGAATACAAAAATTCTAAGAGTGCCACATAAAATAGTACTTTAGACTTGAGTTAATGCTACCAAGCAAATGTTAAAAAGATGACTTTAGTGTTTTGATAATCAAAGATTAAAATCATTATTGTCTAAATCAATAATCATAACGACAGAAGTTAATGTTTTTTCATAAGTGCTTTAAATCCACTTTTAAAAGTATACCTCAAAAATCAAAATATCAAAAAAAATTGGCCGATAGGTTTGGCTTTAATTTTTGTCTGCTTTTATGATTTGATATGGATGTTATAATTTTAAAAGTTGAGCCAAATTCACCAATAGATTTTTGAGATTTGCAAATACTCAATAATTTTCAGCGTGTTATCTTTTATTAAAAGAACTATTTGGTTTCAGTATCATATAAATTGATATTTACTTTCTATTTGAACCTTCATTTAGCTAATGATTTAATAATACAGATTTCATCTAGTCCTTATAAGAGAATTTTGAATTTGTTATAATAAAAAAACTATGGCATTCCAAACGGGAACCGCGGTTGGTTACCATGGATTTCCGTCACCGGTCACATTTTAAAGATTTTTAAAGCCTTATAAAAATATGCTTTGTAAATCATTTTTTGTAAATCGGCAAAAATTTGGTAATTTTCTTCAACTAATAAATCTGCGAATAGCATTTATAATACAAGAACAATCTTTTAAAATGCGTTTGATTCATTTTTGTATAATTTCATATAGGCACATATATTCTTCCGGGACTTTCCGTGATTTTACCGTAAAATCATTAGTTTACACCAATTTTTCCGTATTTTGAATAGTTTACTGCACTTTTCCCGTAAAATTGAGTTACGGGCGCAAAATTTCCGGACCTCATTTTTCATAGAATATAATAATAATATTTGATAAAAAGATATATTATTTATATTTTTGATTTTTGAATTACGGAAAAAGTGAATTGATAACTTGATTTTTTTATATGGTTAATTTTTCAAATGATATTATGAAGATCTAAAATATTAAAAGTAAAAAAATTGAATTACGGAAAAAGTGAGGTCAAAAGTGAAATAAATTTGCAGAACAATTTTCATTGAAATAAGTTTTATTTTTCATTATTAATAACAATGCTGTAATAAACAGAAATTCATCAAAAGTGACAGCTCTCAATTTTTTGACATTTGTAAATTCTAAATTGAATGAGAAAAATGAAATAATACTAAGCATAATACAATATTCTAGATTTAATTATAATTAGGAAAAAGTTAGTTTTGAGAGTACTTTTCATAGGCATATAGAATGAAATCTTCTGAAAAATAATATCATATAAACTCATATTATTTTCTAATATATAACTATTTTATATAAAAATCAAATTCAATGATCTTAAAAGCGAAGGATAAACCTCAAAATTTACGAATATAATGAGTGGGAATATAATGCTTATCTATCATAAAACCATATGAAATATCAATTTTTGCTTTACGCCTAATTTTTGACGACTATTAGCAAAAAATGTTAAATGTTAACACTCAATCCATTTGAATATGAAAAATAAAATTGACTTTGATTAAATGTTTTTATTTATCATGCAATTCTTCTTGCGACCAAAGATTTGAATAAAAGTTCAAAAAATAAGATTGCTTAAAAAATAATATACGGTAGTGTTTACTAATAGATGAATAGTATATAAATTCTATTAAAATGGATTTGATCCAAAAAAATATATAAAATTTGATCATAAATAAAATCGTTTTAAATTACTTCTTCATTTAAATTATAACAATTATTTTTGGTTTTATAGTTTTTAAAGCTCATGTGGTTTTTTTAACCACAGAATACTTATGTGCTGTAGCAAGCTTGCAATCCAAAGCTCACGTTAGACAACAAGAGTCATGAAGTCTCATACTAAGGGATATCCAACATATATTTTAATAATCTAATGTTTGTGACAAATATTCAACATAAAATTAAGTTTTCGTTTCGTTACAAGGCATTCATACTTTGGAGATATCATATTTAATGTACAGAAAAGTTAATATTAAACAATACATGCTAAAGAATTAATAAATAAGATAATAAAATAAATTTATACGTAATTACTTTCATTTAATATGCTTTATGCTGTATAATATTGATTAAGAGGCATTAAAAGGTTCCATAATCTGCTTTTATAGGCAAGATTTTTGATAAAAATTTTAAATTTTGAAAAATGATGAGAAAAGGAAAAAAAAGGTAAATGAGAGCAAGAGGAGGGAAAAAAAGAAAAAGAAAAGGAAGGGAAGGGAAAAATAAAAGAAAGAAGGACATATAAAAATTTAGATGCGCATTCTTAATGCCGAGGCGGCTTGCCGCCGAGGCGCGATTTTTTTAGGCCTCTACGGTAACCCGGCAATGTTTTTTTAAATCTTGTACAGCCCTAAAAAAAACAAACAGATATAGCTTACACTTCTATAATAAAGATACCTTTTATAGAAATCAGTATGAAATGTGTTTTGGCTTATTGGAAGCATATCAGACATAATCGCCATAATCAAAAAATCTATATACCCAATAAGTAATAAATTTGTCGATATAGATTTTCCATAAAATTAGTTTTTAGTCTGATCTTAAAATAAATTTAATTTTTTATAAAAAAAATCACATTTAAAAGTACCTTTTTAGTAGCTCGAAATCCTGTTGGTGGATTTCGGGCGTACTTCAAAATTAGCTTTTCTTCTACATATGCAAGCTATATTTTAAATATGGAGCAAATCGGATCGGCGAAAGGAGTTTAGTTACCTTTTATTGATCAAGTTATTTTTTCTGGATAAGATATTATATGGATAATTGGATAGAAAATACAATTATATAATCTTGTACCTGGTTTAATTAAGCTAATTGTCATCAGAAACTTGTAATTTTTATGAATTTCAGATTTTCTTTTCATTACTGCTTTTCTTAATAGGTCAAGTTCTTATTTACGTTATAAAGTATGATATTTACAAATATCAAGTTATCGTGTTTTTTGAGAAATTATGAGAAACAAACAAAAATGAAAAAGATAGGAATAGCAATGAATAGTGATGTGGGTATAGAAAATGTAAGAGATATGAATGCAAAGCAATCAGTATTTAGGACATTGACCATAGATTTCGAAAAAAAAATGCTGCATATTGAGCGAAAACTATGATTATATTATAAGGCTGTCATTTAAAGCATAATGAAACTATTCCCTTTTCATTTTAATCAAATAAGATAGTAAAGATTTTTGAATTAGCTAGAAACTGATGAGATGTTTTCACAAATCAGATTTTTAATCTCTATAATGCATAATTCACTCAATATCTCAATTTTGATATTGCGAGATATTTTTGCTATCGGTTTCGCAATTTTGACACAATAGCAAGAGGGTTCTATAAGCATTATTATCAACGTAGAATCTGAATATCATATCAGAAAATGTCGCAAATCTGACATTTACCCGACCAAATAGCAAAAATAATTGAATACTTTTCGCAAAAACTTTAAAAATCGATAAAAATATGAAATATAGATATTAAAGAGACTTTTTATATAATATTCATAAAGATTTTCCAAAAATATGATACCGCAAAATTAAAAAAGTGACGTCTTGAGTGGAGTCAAAGGTCGAAATTGCTAGCTAAATGTTTTTTTAGCGAAATTGCGTATTGTACGTTTTTTTCGCAAAACGAAACCCTTATTTTGACTTCAAATTTTTTAAAGCTTCAACTAATATGTGGGGAAGAGGATACTGCAGCTATTATGACTCTGACCGAGGTTACAAAATTAAACAGGATGAATTTGATATAGAGCATATAGATAAATTAGATAAAAAGGCAGATACAAGTTATCAAATTGACAGAGAAACAATTGAACATCAAGAATTTAAAGGAACCCATAGTATCGACTTTGAAGTTTATTCTAATGGCCTAGGTCTTATGCATATTGCTGCTATTTGGAACTCATTAGACGAATTCATTTTTCTTCACAAGACTCATAAATTGGATATTAATGTAAAAGACCGTAGTAACCATATCCCACTCCATTACGCATGTTCTCAGGGTTCCACAGAAGTTGTCGCTTATATTTTAAGTCAATTAAGCGACGAAGAATTTAAGAAACCCGAAATAGATCATAACCTTTGCCTCAAATTAGCAGCACGTACTAGTTCCTGGCGTATAATTGAGATTCTTTGCCAGAAAGGAATTGATATGAAAAAGAATGGCCAAGAAGCTATCGAAATTGCAACAACTCTTACTGATATCGCAACGCTACGTGTTCTTCTCAGTCATTCCGGCGAAAACAGTAGAGTAACTTCATCACCAGTTTTATCAGCGATTACCTTTGACAAAATTGATTGTTTGAAGATGCTTTTTGCCAATGGATTCGAAGCAGACAAGCCAGTTATGGATATGCTCCCTCTTTACAAAGCATTGGATCAATATACTGTTAATCAGGGCATTGTCCAACTTATTTTGAGATATTCGTCAAAATACGATATTGACACCCAAAACCGCATGTCAACAGTTCATTACATTTGCAAATGCATGAATCCGAAAATTGCTGCAGATATTTTGGTTCATGATATCGATGTTAACAAGCTTGATGAACATGGACGACCAGGACCTTACTATTTCCAGTCCAAGCCTGATGGAGATCCGGCTGCAATTCTGGATATGCTTCTTAAGAAAGGTTTTAACGTAAATATAAAGTTCGGAAGTCCAAGTATTTCGATTCTCAACCATTTCATGACTTTGTACGGAAATTGGGAAAGAATTGTCAAATGGTTCGTCGAACATGACGCAGATCTTGAAGAAAAGCTCGCAAACTCTAAAGATAAAAGAACTCTTCGTGATGCAATCAAAAAGGTTTATCCTAAAATTAATGTTCCTGATAAAGATGAATAAAAAAAATTTTTTTCTAGCATATTCATTTAATTTTTTACTTATTTTTATGATAATATGAACTAGAGAGTTTCGGACTTTTACGCTTTGATTTTTTTAATAAAATGGAAATATTGGATTAATATTCAACAACTTCTGAGTTGAACTCATGATTTGTATATAACACTACTAGTTCTAAGTACATCTATGATTAACATCCCTAATTTTAAAGTAGAAAACTCCAATTTTCCCTAGAGAATTGAAAATGGATTGTATTGTTGTAGGATTGTGCAATTTTGTCTCTCTTCTCGCTATTCAAGTTCGGTTTTTTCGTGACTTGCTTGAAAATGTCGACTAAAATTTCCCTGATTTTGTCACTTTTCAAATCTCTAAACGTGCGAAATTTTAAAAATATGAATGCAAAACGTATCCACAATAGAGTAATGGAAGATTTTGAAGAGGTCAATATTCTTCTCTCAGAGCAGAATATCCCTTTTACTCACAGAAAACCGGCTGCTTTAACAAGAATACCAAATTTTGAACGTGCTCCAGTCAATACTTCATCAAAAAGAAAAGCAATTAAAAATAATCGTTCAGAATCAGCAAAACCAAAGAAGAAACGCATAAATAACGTTGAAAAAAAGAAATCGAGAGCTTCTTCTGAGAAAAATACAAATCGATCTGAAGAAAACAACGATTTTATTGTGTTAGAGTTCAAATCATTCATGCTTACAAAGAAATTACTCGACTTAAAGCTTAGAAACTACTTTCAAATATGGAATCGAAAATTATTGCAATACTTAATCAAGAAAACACGCGAACACAACAAGAATATAAACGAACAACAATTAGAAACTGTAGAAGAAGAAGAATCTTACGAAAAAACAGATTCGAAACAATCTTCAAATTCTCAAAATATCGAAAGGACAGAATTAATCGAATCAATACATGAAGAATATTCTTCATTAAGCCAAAATCAGAACGACCAAATAAATGAACAAAGCAATATCGAAGAAGAAGAAGTAGCAGAACAATACACAGGAATTGAGAATGCATTGAAGAATATACCTAAAGGAATTGTTGAGGATATATTCACGTCATCAGAAGATACCTCTAACTCTAATACTTTTGGAGATTCTCTGATAGAAAATTCTGATGTTGCTTTTTCATTCAATTCATGGAAGGCTGCAACAGAAGCGCGCAAATTACAGAGAAATGAAATCAATGAAGCAACATCTTATGGCCTAGAACTTAAATCTCTCCAGCAAATTATCAAAGATGTTCCAAAGAAAGGTCTATTTGAAGATTATTCTAGTGCATCTGATTATTCTGATGAATTGAATAAGGAACAGAATGTTGAAGAACTAAGAAATCAAAGGAAACAAAAGTCACCTCCACCATTAGCTGTAAAGCAGCCATTTGTGAACAATAACGATATTAATAATCAAGATGATGACGATTATGATGAAAAGGATACAAACGATGTTGATGTTACAGATGATATCTCAGATACTGACGAAGATTCCGAAAAAATTGCCGAAGAAGAAGAGGAGGAAGAAAACAATGTCGATAAAAGTGTTAGCAGCAAAGAAAGTGAAGATGATCATGATTCTGAGGAAGAAAAGAAGAAACAAGAAGAAGAAAGAATCCAGAAAGAACTTGAAGAAAAACAGAAACAAGAAGCTCTTAAAAAGAAGAAAGAAGCAGAAGAAAAGAAACAAAAAGAATTAGCAGAAAAGAAGAAAGAAGCTGAAGAGAAAAAGCGTTTGGAAGAAGAGAAACAGAAGAAGGAAGCAGAAGAAAAGAAGAAGAAAGAATTAGAAGAGAAACAGAAGAAAGAAGCTGAAGAAAAGAAGCGTCTGGAAGATGAAAAGAAGAAGAAAGAATTGGAAGAAAAGAAACGCTTAGAGGATGAAAAGAAGAAGAAACAACTCGAAGAAAAACAAAAGAAAGAAGCAGAAGAAAAGAAGAAGAAAGAATTGGAAGAGAAACAGAAGAGAGAAGCTGAAGAAAAGAAACAAAAAGAACTAGCAGAAAAGAAGAAGGAAGCGGAAGAAAAGAAACGTTTAGAGGATGAAAAGAAGAAGAAGGAAGCGGAAGAAAAAAAGAGAAAAGAAGCTGAAGAAAAGAAGAAAAGAGAGTTGGAAGAAAAACAAAAGAAAGAGGCAGAAGAAAAGAAGAAGAAAGAACTAGAGGAGAAACAGAAGAAGGAAGCTGAAGAGCAAAAGAGAAAAGAAGAGGAAAGGAAGAAGAGAGAGTTAGAAGAGTCTCAGAAGCTGAAGGAAGAAGAGGAAAAGAGACAAAAGATTGCTGCAGATAGAAGAGCAGTTGAAGAGCAACTTAAAAGAGAATGGGAAGAAAAGAGGAAGAAAGATGCAGAAGAAAAGAAGCGTAAACAAGAAGAGCAAAGAGCCGAGGCTAAAAGACAAATGGAAATTGAAAGACAGAAAATCGAAGAAGAAAACAAGAGAAAGGAAGAAGAGGCAAAGAAGCAGAAAGAACTCGAAGAACAAAAGAAGAAAGAAGAAGAAGCAAAGAAGCAGAAAGAACTTGAAGAACAAAGGAAGAAAGAAGAAGAAATAAAGAAACAGAAAGAACTTGAAGAACAAAGGAAGAAAGAAGAGGAAATGAGGAAACAGAAAGAACTTGAGGAACAAAAGAAGAAAGAAGAAGAAGCAAAGAAACAGAAAGAACTCGAAGAACAAAAGAAGAAAGAAGAGGAAGAGGAAGAAGCAAAGAAACAGAAAGCTTCTGAAGAAGAATCAGATTTATTTCTTGATGACATTGATGATGTTCAGATTTCACAAGATGATTCATCAGATGATGATGTGCAGATAGACATAGATGATGACCCAGATGTCTCAATTGATAGTGATGATGATAAAGATGTTCCAATTGATGACGACGATGATTTTGTTGACAGTAAATCTCCTCAAGATTCTCCAAAACAAGATGTAGTTTCTTCAGATGAATTCATCAGCACAGATAGCGATGCAGACTTTGCTAATGGACTTGAAATTGATGTTCCAGATCCTGTTTCAGCTCCACATGTTTCAGAAGATGAAGCTGAAACTAAATCAACAAGTACCCTTAAAAGTTCTGATTTCGCCACTGATGATGATTCAGATGATGATTACGAAGTTCCTCCTGCTGCTGATCCTAACGCCATTATAATCCCTGTTCCTCTTGAATCAATGCCAGACAGATATCTCGATGTTGCTGAGCCTAAAATTAAGATTCCTAAAGCAACAACGCATCCAGAAAAAGAAACAGATTTACTCAATTACCTCAAAATCCTCATTCATGATGAAATTTTCGAAAAGTTAGTGAACGCAGGACCTATTAAACCTGTTGTAGATCTACAATCAGAAAAGCAGAGACCGTGGAATATCACACCACAATATTCAGACCTCATCATCGATGTAATCAATGAAATTGTTGATGATGCTGATTTCTCAACAGAAGGATTGACGAAAGAAGACTTCATCCTGTTTGTTAATAGTCAGTTTACAGGGCAAACATATCAATTAGATAGAACTATCTCTGATACATTTAAGGCGGCCAAGAGCGGTATTTCAAAAACACAAATTAGCTATATGATGGAATTCTCTGATGAGATTTTAGAAGAGCAACTCAAAAAATTGTTTTAATTAAACTTGTTATATTATATTTATACGAAAATACAATGTTATTTTTTTCATATCATGAACATTAGATATTTTGATCGATACTAGAGATATGAGAATGATTTATCAATAAAACCTTATCAAAATTGTCTTGTGATTGATGTGGTTTATTATAATCCAGTTTGTTTGCGCTATATCACTATATTAATAGAAAATTTGGATGAAAATCATTCAAAGACTATTATAAAGGAATATCTTCATGATGTGAAATCGATTATTATATATATTGATTGATATATAGCTTTTAAAAGTGTAGACTGTGTGTAAAATATAAAAGATCAGTTAATATTAATAATATGATATTGCTGAAGGAGTGTTGCCATTTATGCCTGTTGTTAAATCGTAAGCTCGCATTTTATGGAAATTCTATACAAATTAAAAATATCACGAAAATATTAAAATATAATAATATTCAAATATTATCAAAATGAATCTAAATAGTCTTTATGTCACCAATAAATTCGTTATCTAACCTCAAGGTTTTGAAGGATATGAAAATTTGAATAACAAAAATAGCAGGCTTAAGACATAGGGCGTTATCATCCACTGTAAAGGTAGAGCATATACAAATTACCGCCTATTTATACGGATATTTCAAAGAATCGTAAAAGAATAATGAAAAATTATTTTTCAAATAGAAATCACTACAATGAATCGCGAGCTTAGGAGAAAGTGAAACGCTATTGGATATCAACGCAAGCTGCTATTTAGGAATAATGCGATTCTTCTGTTCCTAAATTTTATTGTTAATTCTCCGCAAATTGAATTTGAATACGTGTGCCAGTTCTAATCTTATTTTTAAAATTGATTTGTTCAAGAAATGCCATGACAGCGGAGTATGATACACAAAATTTCGATACAATTCTACATTTGGCTATCTGGCATGATATTATAGCAGTAAATTTATTCGCTGATATTTTTGGCATTTTTGAAATAATGACTACTCAATTATTTGAGAGAAGTTAACGTATCTGGAAATTAAAGATGGATTTGATTGTTTTAAAAAATTCTTTATATAAAACCAGATATTTGTTATCCAATCATATGATAATAAATTGTGTAAAATGACGTGAAACTACAAAATTTGAACTATAGAATAGATGGCAATATATTATCATTGGAATTTCAAAATAAATTTCGCAAATTTCATCGATTTCACTCAGAACATAAAATATTTATATTAGGCATTTTCTAGATAACGTATTTAAATCATTAAAAAGGTAATTCGATTCAAAAAGTGAGAACAAAAATCAATCTAAATTGAATCTATTCAAATTTATCGGTGCGATCATTTTGGAAAGGTACATTCACTAGGCGATAACAGTAAAATGGGATGAAAATAGGATAAATAGCATCCCTATATAGTGCCTAACAATATTTATACGGGCCAAAAAAAATTTGGCGAGAGATTTGGCGAGTTATAAAACTTAGAAAATTGAGAGGGATTTTTATTTTTGAATTTTTTTTGGAAAGTTAAAATTGCGATTAAAAATCGATTTCCGGGAGAACTAAGCATCTCATCATATATTTAAATCGAGAAAAATATTAAATAATAGTTGAATAGTATAACTACATGAAATTATGGCTGAATATACAGAAAAAATGAACATATTTGACATTTTTGGAAATTCATACGTTAGATAGTGACAAACTCATAAACTATACTTTAGCTAAGATTGATATATGGTTTCAACAACACATGGTTAAAATCGTAAAAATATTTTAGATTTCAAAAAGATATATATGGTAATATAATGGAACAGAGTCAACAAATAGCATGTAAAATATGTTATAATTAACTTTTTATTAGATCTAATAGTATATATCGAATGGTTTCCAGCTTTATGGTTAATTATTTTCTTTTCGAGCTTCTCTTTAACTGTTGTATTAAGGTTGTAAATTTTTGATGCTAGAAACTATGGAATCTTCTTTGCTGCTGCATTTTTCTTGAGAGTTCTTGCAATTTCGAATATATCTGCGCATTGTATGAAATGGGGGCTTTAAAATATCTTGAATCATAATAGGACTGCTTTTCCAAAGGAATGCTTATTTGTAAATCAGAGAGTTTCAAAATTGAGTGCAAGATTATCATCATAACTTAATAATTTTGTAGCGTTTTTTAGAAAAATGCGAAGGGAGCGCCAGCGACCGAGCATTTTTCTAAATATGCTACAAAATTATCATTCTCAATTGAATGATGAATCGAAAGAATTTTGTAGCGTATGATTATTTTCCCTTGAAAAATAAATTAAAAATTTTTGTATATTTAATCATACTGTTTAATGAGCATCCTAATTTACTAAAAATAAAAAGACGATAGAAAATATTCAAAAAACTTGATGGCTTTAGATAGTCTTTTCGAGGAGTAACTTTTTCAGTGAATCGTCGAACGCTATCCACTCTCATAACATGTCCTCTTAATGTCCAAGGATATGCAACTTTTATCCCCATATTCATTGATCTTCCAAAATTTCAATATCAAATTAGGCTTCAAAGTTCCTAAAACTTTAGCCATGAATAGGATGTCAATCTTAAAGTCATTTCCTACCTCCTTCATACATGAAATTAAGAATAAAAGTTAATTTTTTAAAGTTTTTTAGTGATAATTTTTCAATGGAAAATAATCGTATGCTACAAAATTTTCGATTACTGATCGGGTGAGAATTTTGATTTTGGTGCAAAAAAGGAAGACAAACTATTAACAAATCATTTACTGTTGTTCATCAAAAGAAGAAAACTTTGATAACAACTAATGATGATAAAATCAAGCTATCTTTTAATATTTTAAATTGATAAGACATTCAAAATATTTGAATGGTTTAAAATATTTTCTTTTAATTTCTATAAGATATTATCATGATTATATAATAAAATTTAAATTTTTATTCAAAAAGGCAATATTTCAAACTTTTAATTTCAAAAATCTTAATTCTGCAATAAGTGTATTTAATTGTAGCAAATTTAATGATCCTTCATCATGTTTAGCAATTTGGAACTCATAAATTAATGATTTCTTCAAGTAAAATTCTGCATTATTTCAAAAGTCAATAATTCTCTAGTAACTTTTCTTCAAACCCTAACCATTATATTATAGGTATAATGGAGAATAATTGCAAAGAAAGATAGCCGAATTTACTGGGTAGTTCTTGTGATGCGAAATAATTGCAAATTAACACCTAGTTTTAACAGCATCAATCTCTTTTTGCTTTCATTTAAATGCATTCGCACACTTTAATTTTGAAATATAAGAGTTTTGGAAATTATCAAATTTATCTGCTCAAATACTATAGATCTTCATAAGTGTTAATAGAATCATTAGCCTTACATATAGTGTTTAATATAATGATGCACATTATACTGGGATTCATTCCTTATTCATCTAGTTATTATAAGATTTACAACCCCGTGAAAATTTAAAATTTTGTCAAAAATAGTGAATGTACCTTTCATTTTGGGAACTAAACACAATTAAATATGAATCAATATCCTGCATTGATCAAAATATTTTTCATTTCGAAAACAATCGAGAAGAAAGTGAATTCAATTTAAAGTAGCTCCTTATGGCAAGTCTACTTATCCGTGAAGAAGCTCCAATTAAAAGTGAATCCAAGCCAATAGGTACAGTCAATGATAAGAATATCTTCAGCACATCTTATAGAGGTGTAGACAAACATCTCATCAGTTATGATAACGACGACTACGAACAAGAAAGAAACGTAGCTTTGAACAATTGGTCTGTTGATGGTGTTGTCCCTCTCACAAAAGAAGAACTTGAAGCCGAGCAGGTTGAAAATAAGAAGCTCATGAAGCAATTTACAAAGAACATTCTTAAAATGGACTACTCTAACATGAGTGTTCCATGCTCGTACTCGGAGCCACGTTCTTTCCTTGAACGCATGGCTGACTTCTTCTCATTTTTGGCTGGCGAATATCTTGACAAAGCCGCTGCAACGACCAGTGTCGAAGAGCGCCTTAAACTTATTTCCATTGGCATTGTATCATCTCTTCACCTTTACCACCAGAACAAGAAGCCATGGAATCCAGTTTTAGGAGAAACATATGTTTGCCATTACAACTCAGGTGCAGTATTATATGGCGAACAAGTTTCTCACCACCCACCGATTTCCAACTTCGAGATTTTCGGAAAAGACGCTGCATGGAAAGTTCATGGCCAATGTAATTTCAACATTGATTCATCCATGAACCACTTTGAAGTTATCCAGAAAGGTTTGTTTGTCTGCACATTCAACGATGGCGACAAGTACGAATGGGAATTCCCTAATACTTATGTCAACGGTGTTCAACATGGCGATAGATTCATCCGCGTCGTCGGAAAAGTTGTTGTTAAGAACAACGAAAAGGCCATGAAAGCAGTTATCCGCTTGGCTCCTAAGAAAGACAAGAAACTCGGAATCACAGATTTCGCACACACTTACATCTACGGCGGCATCAAGAAGATCCGTGGAAAGAAGGAGAAGAGAACAGATTTCATCAACGTATACCGCGGCGACTACTGCAAGCAACTTACAATGGATGATCAAGTTATATGGGACATCAACGCACACAAAGCAAAGAGACCAAATCAGGATGTCAATGATGATGAACTTTTACCAGCAGATTCAAGATTCAGATTCGATCGCGCTTATCTCATCGATAAGAAACCAATGGAAGATGCTAATTTAATGAAGAAGACAATCGAAGATGCCCAGAGACGCGAAGAAAAGCTTAGAATCTGTGTTAAGAAATAAATTAGTATAAAAATCTTTCTTTAAATTACTACAAAATGGTTATATCGTAAATTTGATGTTTCCATATATTTTTTCAACTAAACTCGTTTTATATCCTTCATCTAACGCTTTCTTTTTAACTTTACCGGATGGCAAAATATTATTCATATCGGAAAAGTGACAATAATTACCTTCTAATGTGCTATATTGTATCTAAAAGGGAATTATGTAATTCACATTGATACGCCAATAAAATAATTGTGAAATTGAATAGATTAATGCTTTATTTCTGTTATTTCTTTAAGATTTCTCGATTTTAATAATCATTAGCCATTTTGTTCATTTCTCTCAAATATAAATTAACCTCTTCTTTAAGAATTATGTCTGCTGTTTTTAATATATTAAAGGCTTTTGAATCATGAGAGTAATGGAGCGGTAAGTAAATAACACTCTATCATTAAGTCAGTTTTTTCTGTGCTAATTAAACAGCAAGGGATGTTGATTGAAAAAATCTAGCCGATTTAAAATTGAACATTGGCGCAACAAATTACTTGGATATCGGAAAATTGTCACGCTTTAGTCAACACGCGGTATATTTATTAAAGATAACATATAAAAATAGAGAAAGGTGATAAAAAAAGAGAAGTGCTATTTAAAAAAAATCATTATTAAGATAAGAGGCAGTGTGAATAGTTAGATTATTTTTTGTTTCTAATAAAATTCATCTTCGAAATGTTATTTCTATAATTATGAGAAACTGCCTAATGAAGTGCAGTTTTTCCATTCTTATTTTTTTCAATGATATTTGCACCATGTGAAAGAAGAAGTTTGACTATTGCTTTACTATTATTATATGCTGCACAATGAAGAGGAGTTTCTCCAAAATTGTTTTTTTTTCTTTGATATTTATCCCATGTGAAATAAGAAGCTCGGCTGTTACTTTACTATTATATTTTGTGTTGTAATATGAAAGGTGGTTTCTCCTTCCCTATCTTTATCATTGATATTTGCACCATGTGAAATAAGAAGTTCTGGTATTTCTTTTATATTTTTGCGTGTTGCATAATGAAGAGCGGTTTCTCCAAAATTATTTTTTCTTTGATATTTGTATCATATGAAAGGAAATAATCGAGAAGGGATGGAATGTTAAACATCACTGAATAAACAAAGCATTGGTTAATATCATATGTTTGATCAAAATAAGCAAAAAATGATTCAAGATTATAGGGTGTCCAAAGGTGTGTTTAGCACAAACCTGAATACTGCGAATAGAAATAAACAAGTTACATATATATAAAGTTTATTTAAATATAATCACCATTGGATTCAATCACGCGTTCGCAGCGATCGATCCAGGCTTGAAAGACACGCTTTAAATCATCATGAGAAAATTGCTCAAATTGCTCTCTTACAAAATTTTCAAGATCATCTGGACTCGCGAATTCGCGTCCTTCAGCTCTCTTTTTTAGCGTGCCGAATAAATAAAAGTCAGAGGGTGCAATATCAGGTGAATAAATTGGGTTTGGAACAACTTTGACATTGTTTTCCAACAAGTAATTCATTACCTTATGACTTTTGTGAACTCTTGAATTATCAAAATGAATTGCAAACTTTTGTTTTTGTTGTTTGGATTTCTCAAACTCATCAGAATTGATAATTTGAGTAAGAACATTGTCAATTAGATACTGAGCATTCATCGTATTAGGTTTTTGAAGAATATCAATTGCGATGATGCCATTCACGCCCCAAAAAACCGACAACATCATCATTGGTGTGTCAATTTTTTTCTTCGGGAATGTTTGCGGATTTTCATCCTTCGGGATCCACATGATTTTGGCTTCTGTTGCATATTGAAACCAAGACTCGTCCCCTGTTACTAAAAAGCGAAACTTCTTGGATTGATACGCACCCAATATAGAGAGGAGCTCTTTCGAAGATTGGACTCTAGATTTTTTTTGAACTGAATTAAGGTTGTGCGGAACCCAACGTGTATACGCTAGTTTGTAGTTCAAATAATTGTGCAGATAATAACTGACTGTTGTACGTGGTATCTTTGTCATCTCCTCTATCCTTCTGAGTGATGCTCTTGGGTCTTCATCTAGCGCTTGAAGAATTGCTTTGATTTTTCTTTGATCCGGCAATTTTTTGTCAATTTTTATGATGGGCGCCTTTTTGTTCATGAAGTGATACATCCTAACATGATACGTTACAGTGGAATAGCTAGGAGCATCCATACCGAAGCATTTTACCAATGTCTCGTAGATTTTTTTACAGTCTTTGCATTTTTTTGCAAGAGCGAGGATGTTTTCTTTATGATTCATTAAAAAAATGAAAAAAATCCCGCCAAAATTTCCCGCGAAAGTTAGTATACCTAAGTCGTGTACAGAGGCACTGCGCGCCTCCATACACCACTTAGCTGTTTTGACACTTTACAAAACTGGTAACGTATATTTTACAATACAACCACAACACCAACTTAACCTTAAATATTTACAAAACCGTCTGACACATAAACGACTTCACTAATGAATTCACTAATGAATTCACTAATGAATTCACTAACGACTTCACTAACGACTTCACTAACGACTTCACTAATGAAAAAATAAACGTTTTCACAAACGACTTCACTACTGTAAAAATAAACGTTCTCACTTACAAAAGTATTGCAACTCTTCCCATTGCTGTGCTTCACACAATAGTTCATATTCTTCAGTATCGCTGCTGTCGCTCCAATCGTCAGAGTCAAAGTCACTGTCAAAATAAATGTTAGTAAGTTTTGACAAAGCTAATGAAACACGTTTACCGTTTGTATCGTATGCTTGTATAAACTTTCCATTCTTCATTCCTTCATAAACGCTCAAACTAACTTTACCCTTTCTCCCTCGTATCTGATAGAATGTATTTTCACGAGGAACGAAGAACAAATTCTTGAACTCATGACCGTTGTAGTTTGTTATCTCAATAGTTTTCGTCATTTATATAAAAATAAACTTAAAAATAATTTTAAAAATAAACTTAAAAATTAATGATATCACCACCCTCACACGTATGAAAACATAGCGCAAAAATAAATTTAGGGTAGAAGGGTAGATCTAACCTCATTTCTACCCTCATTTCTAACCTTGTTGAATTCATTGCTTTATAACTCTCTTCCTTGGTTTCTTTTTAGTTGCTTTCTTCACGTCTGTCTCCAACTTGACTGTCTTTCTTCTTCGTCCGTAATGATACCAGTTACTTCCACCAGTCAATGGGTCAAATGGTCGTTCATAAGGGTTTCCATACATTCCATAGGGACCATACGGAAGAACTACTGGTGGAGAAGAAACATTTTCTTTAGTTCCATCGAATCTATTTAAATGCATTGTTTCACCTTTCATCTGGTCATTAAAGTCTTTTGCGTGTTTTGCAAACTCATCGTCCTTTCCTAAAGCATTTTCTGACTCAGTCGCAACCAAATTGGATGCTTTATTTATGAGCCCTATTTTATTTAATCTTAACTTCTTTGCAACCCAGCCTCCAATCTTCCCTTTATTTGCATCTAATGTCTTTGAAACTCTTCCTCCACTCATTTTATTTACTGCGTCATAAGCTCCAAGTGCTTTTGCTCCAAATGCTAATGCTTTTGTTCCCATTGCGCCTAAAGCTGCCCAAGCTACCATTTACACCATATTAAAATCATCTCTCTTCAATATTATCTCATAAAAGTTCTCGTTACTGGAGAAAGTCAATGAAACGTAAGCGTTCTCACGGGCTTCGCCCTCACCGCTTTGCGGTCTATCTAACTTCTTTCTTATATCATCTATACGCTTCAAAATGTCTGAACAATTGCTAACATCTTCTACAACAGTTATTTCATCATGAATGACCTTCAAGAACAAACTCATTTAATATGCAATTAAAATCATTTCAATAATGAGTCCATCCTTTCCATCTTTAGGTAGCACAACATCTTTCATTGAAGAAGGTTCGACAAGTCTTATGTTAAACTTACTGACAAAGTTTGTTATACTATAATGCTTCGGCGGCGAATACATGTAGTTTGAAAGACATAATATAGATTCTTCAGCAAATTCACTTATACTGGATTTTATAACAATGTTCTCACGAGACCAAATACCACCAATTGACAATCTTGTAAGCAATCCTGCTGAGCCTTCAACTGTAAACGTCGATGGTAACATTCCACGAAGGTCATCTATTGACATCGTTGAGTTACTGTATTTAAATATTTTCTTAAAGCAATCGTCATTATCTAACCATGCAATAGCTTTGAAGTTTTCATTCGAATATACATCTACTTCATTAAATGTAAAACCTGACTTCTTTGCAGAGATGACTTTAAAATCTATTGAGTTTGTTTCAAAATTATATGCTATGGTAACTTCTGAAGGTAATGGATGCCCTTCCGCAGTCAGTTGTTCTCTCACTACCGTTTGAAGCTTTGTGTTAAAAACTTTCATGTCATCTCCTGTGTCTAGGTTCACATACACAGCAACAGGGAAACTATCTTGCTTCTTTGTTTCATCATTATACCTCAAAACATTAAAGTTCTTCAATAATATTGTTCTTCCTGCTGGAATACTTCGAACTTGTCTGATTTCAATAGCTTTCTCACCTCCTACATACTCTACCCAGTGTCTTGGATATTCATAAGTATACTGACTTTCTTGAATTTTGGTAGGTTTCATCATAACGTGTTCATAGTATATCTTTATACTCTTGTCAGTTAGACTCGGTGCTATGTTCTGAATATTTCTGACTTGCATTTTTAATGGAGATAAAATGAAGCATTTAATACATGACGTAGATGAAGACATGAATGAAACTACAGACAAACTTAACTCTTCTCTCATTCTTCCTTTCAGTAAGGACTATGAGTTCTGTTCAAATGGTGTGTATTTCTATTGTGGAAAGATGGGTTCAGGTAAGACATTTAACCTCATTCGTCATATACTCATAACAGAACGTTTAGGAAATGACTCATATTATGACCAAATCATTATATCAGCAACTTCAGACTCTATGGATTCAACAGCGAAAACATTTATGTCAAAAGTTCAAGCCTCTGTCGTTAAAGTTCCAGATAGCGAACTCATTGAATTTCTTCAACGTTACATTCGACGTAAGAGAAAATATTATGCTATTGTAGAGTTCATACAGTCAGGAATGCAAAAGACTTCTGAGGAGATGGAAAGAATTATTGACAAACACCACTTACGTCAATACTCAGGAGTTTACAATATGAAACGACTTACAAACTACATTCTATCAAAACTTTCAAAATACCCCTTCAAAAAATATCCTTCAAACACTCTGCTCGTTTGTGACGACTTCGCCGGAAAAGGTTTAGTGTCAAAGCCTGACTCACCATTAGCTAACATCATAACTAAAGTCAGACATTACCATTTAACTGTAGCAATACTTATGCAAACATGGCGTTTCCTTGCTTTAAACATAAAACGTCTCATAACTGACTTCGTTATCTTTCAAGGTTTCTCACGCTATGATATTGAACTCATTTGGAAACAGTCAGGTATAACATTACCTTTTGAAGAAATTTGGGAAGCATATAAGTCTCTCATCTCTCCTCGTTCATACCTTGAGATTCATATCATGACTAATACCATTAAAGTCAAAAATATTCCATGGGAACGACCAACATTGTTTTAAAGTTTAACCTTCAATTGACTGATGATAAACAAATTCCATGCATCTCTGTCGCCATTTCTGTTAATATTTTTGCTGTCATTCATATCATCCACTTCTCCATCCGTTAGCTTTTGAGGATATGTGTTAGAATAGCTGTTCTTAAATGAAGGCTTCTCTCCCTTGAGAGCATAAACTCTATAACTTTCTGCATACTTTATGTTTGAACCTCCTGAGCCATCATTGACATAAATTTTTATAGGCTTCCACCCTTTGTTCATGTTCCTGCTTCTTCCCTTAGCTCTTTTGTTCAGTAGTTCTACATCTTTATACACAGCACCTGTCTCAGTGAATTCAACAATATTTTCATTCGTTAGCTTTACATTCAAACCCTTGTCGAGTATATTGTTCATTTCATACATATAAAAGGTTTTTATTCTATATGAAATGAGAAGCAAATCCATCTTAGCTGGTGCCGTTAATGTTCCAATTGAACCAACATCAAATGTTGACTCACGAACGACAAACAATATTGTCATAAAGAACTATAGTTCAGAGTGTTTGAAAGAAAAAGAACCAGAGCTGAAATCCGTGAATTTAAACACAGCTTCAAACGCTAACGCTACATCAGATGTTAAGTTAGAGTATCCACCACTGGACCAAATTCTTTCAAGAGAAGCCAACGACAATCCTTACACAAATGTTCAAACAAATCCTTCAGATAACGTAGACCATTACCTTCTTCAGTTATACCAAACAATTTTACTCAAAGACGATAAGAAGCTTTTGACAAATCTTATAAGTAAGAACCAAATAATTCTAACAAAGGAGGACCTTGAAAATGTTATCTCACGAATAACAGGGAAACAATGTGTCATTGACTATCTCGACCCTGAAATCGAATGCTGTGGTCAAACGCCACCATTCATGAAAATAGGTAACATCCGCATCATTGAAACACCAGGAACTACAGGAGTTGAGTTTAAGTATAAATATTCGAACGAGTATACAAAACTTTCAACAGAATATAAACTTTGCTTGAAATATGTTTTAGTAAATTAAAGCAATTTGTAATATCTATCCAAAACTTCTTCAACAGTATCGAACTCATCTTCATAATGCAAACCTAATCTTATTGACTTGGTGCAGTTTTCACTAACACAATATTTTTCTGTTCTCTTGACTGACATAACTAACTCATTTGTTTCATCAAACAGCAACAACCAAAGTTCATGACCTAATACATAACATTCATACTTTATATTTTTAGCTCTGAGTTCTCTTGTAAGCTGTTGCATTTAATATTTTCTAAAAAGTCAACTTCAACAGTCATTCGCACTGGTGCCTTCAGTTCTACAGGCTCTCCTTGAAAGTCAACAAGTCTGAATTGCATGTCTTTCAAATTATGAGGACTAATGCGAACCCATTTACCTAAATGAGTTGCTATGACAGGAACGTTTGGAATGAACATTGAATTTACTTCATAACAGAAAGATTTATACTCTACTGAACCTTTACTATTAACTCCTGAAATGCCTGTGACATTAGCTATTTTAGACTCAATGTATAAACAATTGCCATAACATACGTATGGAACAGATTTCATCTCAATCGTTTTGTCAACACTTTTCAAAGGAAATGTCATATGGTATGCTCCTAAAAGAAGTTGAACTCTATGACTCATTCGTGTTATCTTGAACTCTTTCTTGCTACTGAACTTCAATGTTCCCTCAGAAGAGAGTTCGACATCTATGTTGTCAATAGTTTCTTCATTTATGAGAGTATCTATGACTCCAGCAATTTTATCTATTCTATACTCTGCTCTGTTAGGAAATGTTATAAAACTTCTTTTGTCATCTATTTCAATCTCTATGAAATCTGTTTCATCTGTTATGACAAAAGTTGCGATAGTATTGAAGTCAACAACTCTGAAAGCAAGTGCTTCATTCTGAAGACCTAAGTTTGTTTGTAGCTTTACTGTCCCGTATTCGTTTGGGTCTGTACTTTGCAAATAGAACAACATTTTATTCTCATTAAAATATGACTATTGCTGCATATGCGTATGAAACAAATGAAGCAAGAAGAGCACATGAACTAGTAAACGAAAACTCAACTTTAACCATTGAAGGCAATGATTTAGTCATTGACGATGGAAAAACTAAAAAAGTCATTGATTTCGATACTTTTAACACTTATGACCCATTCATTACAATAAGTAAAGTTCCTATCATAAATGATGGAACGGTGCAATATATAAATTCTACAGTAGATGCCTCATTAGTGAAAGTATTAAATGTTCTCATTGAATTGTTAAAGAGCTTTCGATTTGACGACAACATTAAATGCTTAAAGAATTTAGTCATGAATGAGAAACAAATTCTTGGCGTTGCTGGTAGCAGTAATGATGTACACCTTATGACATTAGAATATTATAACGAACATAAAGATGAACTGAAAGGAGAGAAGGGTGACACCGGACCTCAAGGACCTCAAGGACCACAAGGAATACAAGGAATACAAGGAATACAAGGAATACAAGGACCTCAAGGCGAGAACGGTTTGGATGGTGTAGATGGAAAGGATGGAAAAACTGCTAAATCATGGATATGGAACCTTATAAATACTGGTTTAACAGCTGCTTCATATGGAGTTCTTCAATACCAAATCGGAAAGATATGGGCGGTACTTGGTGAAGAAGTTTTAAATGACGTTAAAAATGCTTTGAACTTCATTTCAAATGGTTCGGATACTATTAAAACTTTATCTGGTTGGATGCAAGAAACAAGGAGTCAAATAGATACTGTAAGACGTATAGCAAACAATGCACGTACGGGATTGGATACTTTACGACAAGCACAAAATACACTAAAGGAAGCAAATGATATTCTTGGCTCAGTATCAGACATGCATGAAGATTGGCTTAAAGGTATTGACAAATCTTTAAAAAATCACAGTCAGTCTATTGCTGACTACAAGAAAAGTATAGATTTTTTACATAGTGCTATGGACGTACATGATGGAAGCATAAGGAACTTACTTAATGCTAACAATAACTTACCAGGAACTATTAAAGCATTTATAAAGTCCTTTGTAAAACCCGGTGCTCTAACATTTAGGTCTTTGAGAGCAAGAGCATTGAAGTCAAGAGATGCAGAAACTCCAACAGAACCTACAGAAGGAACTGAAACAACAGAAACTCCAAAAGAACCACCAAAACCAACAGCTAATGAAATATTGTTCGAATATTTTCCAAGGTACTCTGTTCTCATTGCATACATTCAAGAAATACTTAAGAAAGCAGACTTGACTTTAGGAGATGATGAAAGTTCTGTATATCTTTCGTTCCAGTTTCAAATAGCAGAACTTTTGAGACAGATATGCTTAATGTATGACAACATCTCTGATTTCACAAGATATGATGACGACCATGACCCCGAACACGGTGAAGAAGAAGTTTTACAAACATCCATTAAGACAGGAAAGGTTTTAACACAAAGTCTCATTATTGACACCAAAGATGGCGAAGTGGACGTTCTTCAAGAGCTGAAGAAAAATACTTCTTCGGGAGGTGGTGGTAGGCATGAACTTGAAATAAATGAGATAGAAGAGAAATTAGCCGAAAAAGCAGATAAAGAACATAAACACAATATCTCCGATATAAATGAACTTCAAGCTACATTAAATAGTAAAGCGGACAAAAATGAACTTGACGCAATGAACAAAGTTTTGAAATCTCATAAACACAATATCTCCGATATAAATGAACTTCAAGCTACATTAAATAGTAAAGCGGACAAGAACCACGTTCATTATATAACTTCAGACGAACAGATTATAACGGACTACCATGGATATTTAACACGAAGTGATGAAGCGAAGACAAAAAATGTTAATGAAAGAAGATATAAATACATTCGTGCTAAAGGTTATGACATAAGCTGTACTGTACAGTATGATGTAGCTAAAGCACCAGAAGCATTTGGTTATACCGGTGAAATTTATGCCTCTACTTTCAATGTTAACGGTGTACTAGTTGAACCAAGATTTACTTTGAGAGTTAAGGCAAAAATAACTTTTGAAGATGCTATTAAAAGTAAAGCTGACAAAGTTGAACTTGAAGCAATGAACAAAGTTTTGAAATCTCATAAACACAATATCTCCGATATAAATGAACTTCAAGCTACATTAAAAGTAAAGCGACAAGAACCATACACATGAATCCTTCACTACTGTTAGAGCAGACGACATAATATTGAACTTTGACCTTGGTTCAAGTGCACCTTTAGAGAATCCGAGTACAAGCGTAAAAGATACTCTTAACAATTTAGATAAGAGTTGCAGGAATATCGAAGATCATGCCAGAAACTTTGAAGCATATGAACTACCAACAATGTTAGATAAGAAAGCCGACAAGAACCATACACATGAATCCTTCACTACTGTTAGAGCAGACGACATAATATTGAACTTTGACCTTGGTTCAAGTGCACCTTTAGAGAATCCGAGTACAAGCGTAAAAGATACTCTTAACAATTTAGATAAGAGTTGCAGGAATATCGAAGATCATGCCAGAAACTTTGAAGCATTGAACTACCAAAATGTTAGATAAGAAGCCGAGCATGAATCCTTCACTACTGTTAGAGCAGACGACATAATATTGAACTTTGACCTTGGTTCAAGTGCACCTTTAGAGAATCCGAGTACAAGCGTAAAAGATACTCTTAACAATTTAGATAAGAGTTGCAGGAATATCGAAGATCATGCCAGAAACTTTGAAGCATATGAACTACCAACAATGTTAGATAAGAAAGCAGATAAAAACAGAGCTTCAAACATTAAAGACTCAGATTCTTGAAACATTATATCCTATAGGTTTCTATTTATACGTCAATGAATTCAACAAAATCCAGAAACAGTTTTAGCTTTTTGGTATTTGGGAACAGATTGTAGACAAATTCTTTATACTGTGCTAACTCCTTCAAAGCAAACAGGGGGTTCGAAGAAATTACTGAAGCAAACTTACCTGCGCACACTCATACAGGAACTACAAAACTTTTCTGGCGACCATAGCCACTCATTAAGAGACCATCCATTATACAACTCAGAATATAAATCTGGCAATGACGTTTTATCTCCATCTTATAACAATGCAGCAAAAAAGACTTTTCACAAACTGAACCAGGAGGAAATCATGTCCATACTTTCACAACAAAATCCAACAGGCCGGGTGCAGATTATATGCCACCATTTATGACTGTATTCGCATGGTATAGAGTTCAATGAACGCGCTTGAGCCTAGAATAAAATCTTTAACTTTACATAAATGAGCTTGAAAGAAGTATTCGAACAACATCCATGGAGGTCATTTAAGAAGTTCAATGAAGCTGCAAAGAGTCGGGGATTTACTAACAGAGCTGAAGTGAAAAGGTTCTTTGACAAAAATGTTGTACATCAAACAAAAATAAACCCTTACGACTACTTTTTACCAATTTACTCCAACACTCCTGACGCATACCAATTTGACACTCTCATTCAAAGCAGAAAAGGAGGACATAAACCATTCCTCATCTTCATTAATGTTAACACTCGTAAAGCATATGCATATCCAATGAAAAATAAAGGAACTCGTGAAGTGTTAAGAGTTTTACAAAAGTTTGTAGCAGAACATAGCCCAAGTACTTTAACATCAGACCAAGACAGTGCATACCTCAGCAACGAAATCACAGAATTTCTCATTAAGCATAACATAACTCACTACACTACTGAAGACCATAACCATAATATTTTAGGTATCATTAATCGCTTCATAAGAACGCTCAGAGATTTAAATCAAGAGCGAGACTTTACCGAAGAAACAATGAAACATTTTCTCGAAGTATATAATTCCTCAACAAATTCTACAACAGGACATACACCAAATTCAATGACACAACAACAAGAAGAAAAGTATATACAAAAGAAACGAAGCCAAACACAAAATATCAAGAAATTCAACACAATTTACCCTCATTCCTGTACAAAAGTTCGTGTAGTTCTTGACGACAAACCGTTGACAAAGAAACGTTTAAGGTTAAGTCGAAATTATTATATCGTAGACTCTACGCAAGGTAATGGATATCTTATAAAAGCTGCCGACGACTCTATTGCGTTTTACCCTCGACATAAATTAGTCGAAAGTAGTAATGGCAAACTTGCTGAAACCATTGACGAAGCAAAGCGAGGAGTGGTTATTGAAATACTTGACTATAACATAAACGATGACACTTATAAAGTAAGATATGAAGGAGGCGTTGAAGATGTTATACCATCTAAGAACTTGAGAGAGTCAAAGCCAACACATCTGGGACCATTAGAGCGGGAGTACTGGAAAGACAAAAATATGCCAGAAAGAATAAGAAAATTCTTCTAAACTTTTTCGTTGGATGTAAATCAGACATGAACGAGAACAGTCATGAAATTATTAATGGTACCATTTATTTTAACATAAAGACGCAAAGCGGCGAGGACGAAGTCCATGACCAAAAATAATGTTTAGGGTAGATGGTTAGATCTAACCTCATTTCTACCCTCATTTCTACCCTCATTTCTACCCTCTTGAATTTTCATGAATTTTCATGAATTTTCCCGAAATAAAAAATAAAGTTAGTTTTATTTTATTTATTTTGTATTTTTTGTATGTAAAGACATGATTTCAGGGATTTTTTTGACGAAGTGTCAATCTTCACTTCGTCAAAAAATAACAGTTATCTAATGAAAAAGTGTCATTTTTTGTATTTGACGAGAATGTCGGGTAGATGGTTAGATCTAACCTGTTTTCTACCCTCTTTTCTAACCTCTTGAATTTTCATGACTTCTTCGTAAATGTTTTGTCAAGACTTCTTCGTAATGAGTGTAAAGGACCCAAAAATATATTTTAGGGTAGATGGTTAGATCTAACCTCATTTCTAACCTCATTTCTACCCTCATTTCTACCCTCATGAATTTTCATGAATTTTCCCGAAATAAAAAATAAAGTTAGTTTTATTTTTTTATTTTTTTTTATTTTGTATAAAAGACATGATTTCAACAATCGGCACAACAACAATTCAAACAACAGCACCAAACTCGTTAGTCATGAATCCAACATCTATGTTAGTAGAAATGAAAAGCTTCATTCCTTCTTCATATACTTTTGAAACAGAAATCCAGAAGATAAAGCAAGAACTTTTAACAAGTAATTTAGACTGTAGTGCGAAAGATGAAACAAATGAACAGTATCTTTATGAAATGCAGGACCTCATCGACCATTTACCCAAACTACCTGAAATCCAACAACAAAAACTCACTATTCCTGAATTCGATGAAATAGAAGTCAAAGCAACTGACTCAGTAGAAATAAAGAAGTTCATACGAAAGGTAAACTATGAGTTTCTAGGATTTCATTGCAACCATAAGGTTATGGACAAAGATTGCGACATGGTATATAAGAATGTTTCTGACATATATAAATCTGAAGAATTTAAGACCTACGACAACTTTGTTTCGTTAGTTGCTGAATGTGTATGGCAGATAAGAGATAAAGATAGAAGAGGTAAGGTATGGAACAAACAAATAAGACCCGCTATGTTTGAGATGAAGAGAGCAATTGACGCTTTAGTTGTTTTAGCTGGTTTTATTTCAATGTATAACGCAAAAATGAACCCGCAATGTTCTAAATGTAAAGCAGCAATGAGGAGATATAACTACTCCGTCAAAGAGATAGAACGTATGAGAAACGACTATGCAGACTTAAAGAAAGAAGCAGAAAAACCAGCAGAAGATAAAATGGACACGTTAGCATTTCTGAACAAAAACTATCCAACTGCTGACGATTTCCTATTATCTGATGTCAAGAAGAAGTATAAAGAAACCTTCGGCATTGTTAAAACATTCGATGTACTAAAAGAAGAAATAGAAGCTACAAAACTGTTTAGAATCTCACGAATTCATAACGTTTACCATGTAAAACGCTTATAAAATAACTGGGGTAGAAATGAGGTTAGAAATGAGGTTAGATCTAACCTTCTACCCTAAACATTATTTTTGCTGAATTCAGCAACAAAATTCTGAGTAAAATAATTTTTAGGGCATGTGTCAAACCGTTGAGTTTTCACAAAATTTAAAAAATAACGTTTACCATGTAAAACGCTTATAAAATAACTGGGGTAGAAAAGAGGGTAGAAATGAGGTTAGATCTAACCATCTACCCTAAAATATATTTTTGCTGAATTCAGCAACAAAAATCGTGAATTTCCTTAAGACAGAAAAAATAAAGTTAGTTTTATTTTTATTTTTTTTTTTATTTTGTATGTAAAGACATATATGTCAAACATTGAGTTTGAAACAGTTAGAAAGATAGACAATGACACCAAATTGGTTAGAATAGGTGATTTAAACGTAAGATACTCAAAGAAATACAACAAATATTCTTTGTCAGACATTATATTTCCATCTGGAAAGAAAACACACGACTGGGTTAGAAATGCTTCAACTCAGAAAATTTTGACAAGAAATCCTGAGCTTATGATATCAGTAAGATTCTATGGAACTACAGCATATCTCATCGACAAAAGTCTTATACCAATAGTTTTGTTATGGATTGACCCAGTTGTTGGATATAACTTCATAACTTATGGTTCATTCGATACGGAACGTTGCAGTGAAGGCTTACTTTACATCGTTCAGAAACCGAAGGACTTCAACAAAAAGATATAAGATAGGAAGGACATATAATATAACTCAAAGATATGACAGTACAGTCAATAGAGTCAAGGTTGTGTTCGTTAATGATATGAGAGCCGCAGAAACAGAACTACTCGAAAAGTTTGAGAAAATGTATGGTGCTCCCATAAAAGGTAAAGAAAACGTTTGAAGTAGATGAGATAGATAAAGCTATAAAATTATTTGACGAAGTTGCTGAAAAATACATGTAAAGCGTTTATTTTTGGTCTTTTGTGAAAGATAGAAAAAATAACGCTAATTTTATTTTTATTTATTTTTTTATTTTGTATGTAAAGACAGATATGTCAACAACAGAGAACACAACAACTGCTATCGTTCATGAAGCCATAAATGAGAATACGATACATACAGTATAACAAACAATTGAGACTCATTCGTTCAGTCAAAGATGACATGTACCAAATGCAAAGTATAATGAATGCTCTTCTTTCTACAAAGCAAGCATATCATTGGTTTGAAAACAACAGGCAAAAGAACTTTTAGAAGAATTTCCTCATATGATTGCTTCCCTCGGAAAACCGAGGGAAGAGATTCCGTACGAAAATCGCAAGAATTTGGCTCCTGGTTTGAAAGGTTATTATGTTCATAGACTTCTTGTAAATGCTGTAGCAATGTGGGCTTCACCTCGTTATGCTTGTTATATTTTCATGATGTTAGATGAACTATATAAAGCAGAACGTGGAGAGATGGAAAAGAAACTTCATGCAAAAGATGAAGTCATTGAAGCAAAAGACAAAAGCATACAGAAAAGAATACCGCGTTCAGTACCAAAAGGAAAGGAAAAGAGTTATAAGTATATGATTTACGCTGAAGAGTTGGAGAAAGAAGAAGATAGAGATATGGTTATGTTGCATTTAGTCAGAAGAAACAACAAAAGCTTTTACGACCTTGCTAAGATTTACAAATCTGACAGAAACTGGTTCTATCGTGAAAACTTACCGATTTCAATGACACCGAATGAGCAAATAAAGGAAATTGTCAAAAATACTCTTCCTCAAACACACTATGACATCAAAGGTTGTACAATACTTACCTTCAAAGAAGACTTAACATTACTGAAGGAAAAAATAACAGAATATTTCGATAACTTCAAAGAGGAAGAATAAACAAAAATATATTTTTGCTTAAATAGCTTCAGGGTCTATTTCTTCAACCATTTCACTTCCTTCGTCAATGTCAATAGAAGCTTCTTCAACCTTTGGTAAGAATTTCTGTATAACATCTTTGTTCGTTATTGTCTTCAGAGATGAAGGATAATATTTCACATTTGTTTCACCCTTCTTATATTCTTTCTGTTCGGAAAGATTTAAAGCAATACTGAAGAAGTCAACGTTAGAGTTCTTTATGACAGTATAATGAGTATCTTTGACATTCACGAAGAAACTCTTTTGTTTCAAAACTACTGCTAACTCTTGTGAAGTATAACGTTTGCGGTCAATGACGATAGCTAATGGTCTGACATACTGACCAAACTTAGATTCTTTCACAAACTTCTTGTTAAAGATAACATTAACGTTTGAAGCACCATTGAACTCATTCTTGATGGCAGTAGCGAGAGCATTGTATGAAAAGAACTTGCAATCTTGCATGTGTTTCATTAAAATAAAAATATTAAATTATTTTGAAAAATAACTTAAAAAATCTAATCTAATTTTTTCAAAAAATATTTTTTTATTTCCTACTAAAGATGTATCGGAAGTTGTCTAAGTTAGAACACTCGGAAATAAAACAACTTCTTACAGAAGCTAATATAGATGTTGCAAAGCATTACGCAACAAACAAAAAGGCACTCGCTGACATCCTCAATGACTATAATGGTGCAATAAGTTATGATAGAATTCATGAGTTCATAAAGCCGCAACGCGGCGAGGACGAAGTTCATGCAATAGCATTTCCTTTAAATGACGTTGCTATTGACTTATATCATAGACGTTCAGTACCTCATGAAGTAAGGCGTGAGATGTTTGACATAACAAATGCGAACGTTGGTGAAACAAGAAGAAGAGACGACACACTGAAACAACAGAGAAGAGAGATGTTTAAAAGTGCTATAGAACAAGTTCGCAAAGCTAACGATGTCATTCGTTCCATTGACGACAAACCAAAAGAAGGTGAGAGATGGTTAAAGAAAGATGAAGAGAATAGGAAGAGAAATGTGAAGTCAGGCAATAGACTCATTGACTTTAACATCGAAGCTTTAGATGAACCAAACAGAGACTACTTACACAAACATTTCGGTAAGGTTTTCATGAGACTCTTAGAGAAGATTAAAATAAACTCCCAACAAAGATGGATGGTATGTTATAAACTTGGTGGAAAGTATGAATGTTCTACGTTAAACCTCAATAATATTGGAACATTACTACATCAGCTCTTGAAGGAGAACTTTATATCAGAGATAGAAGCAAATGCTGCAGGTATTGTTGAAATGCACTATGACTTCTTCTTGACAAACATAAAGAATCTTACCGAAATAAAGATGTATGATTTAACAGAATATGAAGGCTTAACGATGTCAGATGTAAAGAAAGGAAAGCCACAGAAGCGACCATATAGAGATGAAAGCACACTGACAAATGACCAGAAAGCCATTTTGGAAGCTCTTAAGCAAACAGGAAACCCAGCACTTATAGAAAGCTTTTGGAAAGATAATGGTGAAAAGAAGTTTTATAAGAAGAGAAGCGGTCAGTTCTGGAAGTATCTTTGCACATTACCTATAAATCTTGAACGCTACCAAATCTTCAATGAACTGAACAAAAGAACTGCAACACTTATGACAGAAGACAATTGTTTCGTTTATGCTTGCATTCAGGCTGGAGTAGATGAAGAAACTATTGACCACATGAGAGAAGTCATTCGTGTTAGAGACTTTCCTCAAAGTAAAGTACAAGAAATTTCTGACGCAACAGGTATAGCATTTAATGTTACCATTGGTTATTTCAATGACTCAAGACATAATGAAATAAAGAGATATATACCAAAAGAATGTGAAACTGCTCGAACTATTGACTTACTTCTTGTTGAAGACCACTACATGCTAAACGAAAGATTACCAATGACAACATATTTCATTCGCAACTATATAGAAATCTTGAAGGAGTGTGGTGGAATGAACATTGAGAAACAAATGAAGATTTATACAAAGAGAGATGGTAAATACATTGTTCGCATGGATAGAACAACACCGTTATGGGATGTTATGAAAACATTGTGGGAGTGCAAATATTTTGAACCTATTTCTTATGGAGAACTTTTCACATATACGACTGACTTATATAAACAGAACCTTGCACCATTTAAAGATTTGACATATGCTCCAAAGTATTGTGTACAACTGAAGAAGAAAGCAGAGTCAAAAGAAGTAAATAAAGCTAAATGTAAGTTCATTCCTGAGCATGTTTTCTTTGCTGACTTTGAGTGCAGTACCGATGGCTTTCATAAAGCTTTTAACATCTGTTATGACAGTGAAGATGGTTCAGTGAGTGAAAGCATATGGGGTCAGAACTGTGCAACAGAATTTTTGGAACGACTTCCTGACAAGAGTTTAATATATTTCCATAACCTCAGTTATGATATAAACTTCATCTTAAGACACATGACAGAAGTGAAAGGAACTCCCATCATTAAAGGTTCACGAACAATGCAAATAACTGGTTTATATAAAGGACGGGCAATTATTATAAAAGACTCTTACAGTGTTATAAATAAGAAGCTTAAACTATTTCCTGCTATGTTTAACTTACAAACAGGACCGAAAGAAGTATTTCCATATAACTACTACAGCAGTACTTTGTTAGCAAATGACAACAGAACTGGTGTCATTTCTGAAGCATGTAAGTTTATCCGGGATGCAGATACATTCATGAAAAACATAGATTCCATCAAAGGTTGCAGAATAGATGAAAACCACTTCGACTTAGAAAAATATAGCACATTTTATTGCAAACAAGATGTAAGAATTTTAAGAGAAGGTTTTGTTAAGTTCCGCAATGACATATTGAAAGAGTTTGATTTAAACGTTTATGACTACGTTAGTATTTGTTCAATTGCTAACAAATTATTTGAGAACAGAGTATACTTCCCGAATGGAAATTTATATGACCTCTCAAATAAACCAAGAGAATTTATTTCACGCTGTATTCAAGGTGGAAGATGTATGTTGTCAGATAACATGAAACAAAAGAGCGAAAAGAAACTCATTGCTGACTTCGACGCTGTTTCATTATATCCATCCGCTATAGCAAGACTTTATACTTTAGAAGGAATTCCAAAGGTTATGAAGGATGAGATGCTAAGCACAGAGTATCTCATGAGACATTTATTCGATGACGACCAAAAGGAACCCATTGGTGAAAAGTTTATGTCTGGCTTCTTTGTTCTCATTAAGATAACAGAGATTGGAATACATAGACACTTTCCTTTAATAGTTTGTGACCCTGAACTAAATCCAGAACTTAACGTTCCCAGAAGTTCAAACACTTGCTGTTTAATGTATGTTGACCATATAACATTACAAGACCTCATAAAATATCAAGGTGTCAAATGTGAAGTGTTGCAAGGATACTATTACGATGGAAACAGAGATATTAGAATAAGAGATGAAGTAAAGAAGTTGTTTGAGTTAAGGTTAAAGTATAAGAAAGAAGGAAATCCTTTGCAAGAAAATATAAAGCTCATTCTGAACAGTATTTATGGCAAAACTATTCTATCTCCTATTGAGTCAAAAATAACCATAGTAATGACAAAGATGCTATAAGATATGCCATCAGAAACTACAACCATATAGTGAAGTTCGAAGGTTTGGATGGTTCAGATAAAACTATTTTCAAGCTAACGAAAAGCATTTGCAGACACTTTAACTTCTGTCCACTTGGTGTTAACATTCTTCATGTCGAAGAGAATAATGTGTGAAGTATTCTGTACTGCTGAGGACTTAGGAATGGACATCTTTTATAGCGATACCGACAGTATGCATCTCTACAATGAAGATATCCCTCGTTTAGCTGAAGAGTTTGAGAAACGTTATGGAAGAGTTCTCATTGGTAAAAACCTTGGTCAGTTTCATAGTGACTTCGCAGAAATAACACCTGGAAAACAAAGTTTAGCATACAAGTCAATATTTTGTGGAAAGAAGACTTACATAGACTTACTCACGAATGATTTAAATGAAGTTGCATTTCACTGCAGAATGAAAGGCGTGAAGCAAGATGTTATTGCTTTAACCGCTAATGAAATGTTTCCTGACTCTGTTCAGTGTTTCTATGATGAAGATAAAGGTTTAATGGTTCCGCAAGGAAAATTTGACAAAGACTCTGAGTTCAGTGTTATGAAGTTATATAAAGCACTTTATGACGGTCAAGAGATTGGATTTGACTTATGTAAGTCTTCTAGTCCTTGCTTTGCTGAAAAGTTTAACTTCTCAATAACGACTAAAACAAGCTTTATTCGTAAGTTGAAGTTCTGAGGTCATTTATTTTTGTCAGCAATGAGGTCATGAATGAGGTCATGAATGAGGTCATTTATTTTTGTCAGAAATGAGGTCATTCGTGATAAAAATAAAGCTAGCGTAGATTTTACAATACTGCGATGGTAGAGTTTAAGAGTTGTGCTTCAATGTAGAGACAGTCCTTATGGTCTGGAGGTAAGAACACTGGGCAGTTATGGTCATGAGTGGAGAACATGTCTATCCAAAACTCACGATTGAAGCCAGTTAATTTATAGTATTTAGGGTTAGGAAGTGGTGAAGTTCTTGTATGACCAATGAACTCATTTTCAACTCCCTTACTTAAGTTTGAATATAATATAGCTTGCTTTCTATCCCAAATGCCAGGTGTTACAATCTTTGAAAATTCATTTTTCCTCGGAAGCATTGCATCATAATTGAAAACATTCTTGAAATCATCACTTGGTTCAGAGATTTGAAATCTTATACGTAATGGATTTTCTTTCTTTTTAGCGACTTCATTGAATGGTGAGAATACAACAAACTGACAGTCATGTGTTCCATCTTCATTTTCATTAAATTCATAATGAAAGTCTATAAGTTGTGGCTGACTACCTTCTTCTTTCAGTTGTGCAAGAAACTCACGTAAAGGCTGTAAAGTTTGTACTTCAATGTTGAACTTTTTCTCGAACATCTCATTAAATGAAATCATACATTGTTGCAATGTTGTATCGTCTTTAAAGTATTTGTATATGTGAATGTTTTGGGCGCTTAAAGACTGTTCGTCATTTTCTATCTCGACTTGAAGTATAAAGTCAACCTTTCTGAAAGCACGTGTTATATACATAGATGTTATGCCAATGTACTTCTCTTCATTTATGTTCACAATCCAGTCTGTTGGAAACTTAAACGTTACTCTGTTCCCCTTTATTTTGACGTCAGGGTTTTCACTACTGAACGCAACAGATAAAGGTATTTGTCTATACATTTAGTTCGGATAAAAATAAACCATTTACTCTTTCTTTGCTTCAGCTTCTTTAGCTTTTTGTTCTTCCTTTGCTTTTGCTTCTTCTCTAGCTTTCTTCGCCAGCAAACGTGGGTTCTTTTGTCTTCCAGCAGCTAATGCAGCAAGTTGTTTTTCACTAAGTTTTCTCTTTGGTCTCTCTGGCTTTTGTTCTTGTTTTTGTTCCTTCAGTTCGGATAAAATTTGCTCACGAATTTCTTTCTTCAATGCTTCAACATCTATGACCCCTTGGGTCTTGTCCGTAGGACTTGTCTGAGTCATTTGACTGCAGATAAAAAACAAAATTAAAACTTTAACCGATGTAAAATGAGCTTGTCAAAATCAGAGCGAGAGTCTATTATATTAAATGACGCAAGAGGAATACAACATCCTTTCTATTACGTAAGTCAGAGTAAAGATGGTAAAATATACGTAAGAAAAAGAAAGGTTCCATTAGCGAATGCAGAAAGCGACAACATTAAGGTGCATGGCAAGGGTGAAGTCCACGAAGCCCATATAAAACCTTCTGTTCAAACTGAGCAAAAAGAACCAGAAGAAAAGAAGCCAGATGTACTTTCAATAACGAACCAAGAGCTTATTGCAAAGTTCGTGAATTTCATTGAAAAACAAACCGAGTCAAAGAACCCTGACCACCAGTGAAAGAAGTTGAGACAAAAGAGAATGTACAGTTCATTGAAAATGTCAAGAAACAACTTCCACCACGAATGCCAAGAAGAAGAGTGAGAATAATGAAGTAAATAGATATTTTTATCCGAAGTAAATACATGCAGAACGAACAGTTAAACGAATTTACTCCAGCAGAGCATATTCATCAGATTCGCTCATATTTCGATATCATAGACAATGCAGTTCAAATTGGTGACACTAATAGAAAATATTCTGACGCAAAGATTCCATCACAACCTGGAACTGCTAAAGATAACACATGGGTAACATTCAATCTCTCACCTCCTGGTGAAAATATGTTGGACCTTTACAATACATTCATTACGTATAAAATGGAAGGTCAATTTATTGTAGATAAAGAAATTGGTTCAGGTTCCAATAAAACAAACCCACCAGGATTTTGGATTGGTTTCGATGACGCTTTCTATGCAGTTGCTGGATATCAAATCCTTGCAAATGGTCGTATCGTATATTCTCAAGACAACGCAAGAGAAGAAGCATATATAACTTCAAACTCACAAACTACCGAACAAATAAAGAAAGTAGATGTTTTCTCAAAGACTCGACATGAAGATGTATGGAGTCATTCGGGAACATGCAGAACAGGACAAATTGTTAGTGGTCCAATTACAGCAGGAAAATCATTTGATTTTAAGCTTCGTTTAAGAATTCCTGTTAGAAGATTCCTTCCATTAGAAGCTATTCGATTTATTCCAGCTTTTGCAGGAAACATTCAGCTTAAAGTAAAGTTCAGTAGCGACGCCTTACAATGCACATCTATATCTGTAAATGATATCATTGCTTTCAATCCAACTCTTAAAGTTGCATTTGCTTCAGATTCAAATCCACCGACAAATAAATTTTGTTCCATGGAATGAACCATTCACTATGATAACGAAGGCAGTAGAAGCTAGTGGAACAGTTACTATTACAACTGTAACCAGCAACTATTTCGAACAAAGATGGATTTTAATGAATGTTTCATTCATCCAAAGTCATTCTCTTTAGACCCTAACATTTATACAGAACTTGTAGAACATTATACAAACGAGGCTTTATGTTTTCCTGTTAAAGTTATGGATTGGATTCCTATGGACGGTTCATTCTCAAAGAATACAGATAGTTCAAGTGCAACATTTACAGCAGCTTATACGCCTATTAATGTTAAAAGTATTTGGGCACTATTTAGAAAGAAAGACAACTATTATGTTAATTTTGAGAACCCTAAGTTTAAATATCTTCAGCTTTCCATGGGAGCTTATGGAAATATGCCTGCAGAACCTGAAAAATCATATGGACCTGTATTTTATGAAATGGTTGCGAACGCTTGCAATACAAACAATGATATGATTGGATTTAATGAAGATGTTATGAGGTCATTGGTGGATGATGGTAGTGTGGAACATAAATGGGATAGCTATGACAACACACATTTCTTATGTGGTTTTCCAACAGAAGTGGACTTTTGCTTCCAGCAAGGTCAAACATCTACTGCTCCAATAACATACAAATTGTCTGTTAAAGGACCTATTGAACTAGCAACTGAAAACGTACCAAAGCCACTTATTGGATTTATGAGGGATTGTTGCTTTGCCATTCAGGTAAGACGTCAGGCATCCCATAATAAGATTAGATGACTATAACTTAGCCACGGACGACAGTGAGGAATAAAGGATGAACGTTTATTTTTAAAGCTTATAAATGAGTTCTTCATCAAGCTCTCGTGAACCTTCACCATCTATGAAACAAACTTTACCAAACGATTATGGAGCACCTATTGAATATTTCTTACGAGCTGCACAATGGCAAAGAGCAGTCTCACCAAGGTTAGGTGTTCCACCAGCTCCTGTCAAAAATAGCATTTGGTCAAGTCCTTATATAAAATATGGTCTCCCACTAGGTTTGCTAGCTACAGCAGGAGCAGTTATGATGTTGAAAAGAAATAAAGCAAATGTTGTAAATAATACTGAAGTAGCTGAAGTTAAACAAACTCCAACACCTTCACAAGCAAAACCAACGTCAAAACAACGCCTTCGCCAAAACCAACGTCAAAACCAACGCCTTCACAAGCAAAACCTTCAATGACTCCTGAACCTATGGAAGTACAAACTCCTATTCAAAAGTCAACTCCTAAACGACTCCAACATTTAAACCAGAACCTACTCCTCAAATAAATCGTAAAACTCTGCGTTTCCTTACTGAAAAAAATAACGTTATTTTATTTAATATTAAAATTTTTATTTGATTGAAATGACGACTAAAGTCACTGAAGCAATGAAACAAAAGTTTTTGGTAGAATACATTAAATCAGGAACTATTCCAGAAGGTTTTTACATTCATACTATGAAGGATGGTAGAGTTCAGTTTAGAAAGATAAAGCAACCATTAGATAGAGAAGGTATATTAAGGAAGATTAAACTTCATGAGGACAACATTGCTGAACTTAGGAAGAAGTTAGAAGAGTTGGAGAAAGGAAGAGAGTTATAAAGCAATGAATTCAACAAGGTTAGAAATGAGGGTAGAAATGAGGTTAGATCTACCCTTCTACCCTAAATTTATTTTTGCGCTATGTTTTCATACGTGTGGGAGTGGTGATATCATTAATTTTTAAGTTTATTTTTAAAATTATTTTTAAGTTTATTTTTATATAAATGACGAAAACTATTGAGATAACAAACTACAACGGTCATGAGTTCAAGAATTTGTTCTTCGTTCCTCGTGAAAATACATTCTATCAGATACGAGGGAGAAAGGGTAAAGTTAGTTTGAGCGTTTATGAAGGAATGAAGAATGGAAAGTTTATACAAGCATACGATACAAACGGTAAACGTGTTTCATTAGCTTTGTCAAAACTTACTAACATTTATTTTGACAGTGACTTTGACTCTGACGATTGGAGCGACAGCAGCGATACTGAAGAATATGAACTATTGTGTGAAGCACAGCAATGGGAGGAGTTGCAATACTTTTGTAAGTGAGAACGTTTATTTTTTACATTAGTGAAGTCGTTTGTGAAAACGTTTATTTTTTCATTAGTGAAGTCGTTAGTGAAGTCGTTAGTGAATTCATTAGTGAATTCATTAGTGAATTCATTAGTGAAGTCGTTTATGTGTCAGACGGTTTTGTAAATATTTAAGGTTAAGTTGGTGTTGTGGTTGTATTGTAAAATATACGTTACCAGTTTTGTAAAGTGTCAAAACAGCTAAGTGGTGTATGGAGGCGCGCAGTGCCTCTGTACACGACTTAGGTATACTAACTGCGAAACCGCCTCTTGTCTCAAAATTCATTTTATATCCCGGCATGGCGCCAAAATACAACATACTCATCATATACATATATTCATATTTTTTATTATATATTTATAATCAGCATATATCTCCTTTAATAGTCTCATATAGAGCGCTGTGCTAAACGCACCTTTGGACACCCTATATTATGCTCTCCACAACACTTTAATTCAATCTTTATATTGTATTCATTCATTAAGAAAGCAACAAAATCAATATTGTGTGAAAATATTGCATAATTCATGCATTCAGAATCTGGTGTTTGATATTTTTGGAGTTAAACTCTTCAAAATCATCAGAATTGTCTAATTTAATTCCATATTCTTTCCAAAACAGGAAGTTTAAAATAGATTCAACATTGCTGATCTCTGTGACATTGTAATCATCTGATATGAGTTTGGCAAGAGATAAATATGACTTTGTATAGCGATTATTATATGGAATGATATGTAAAATGTCTCTTATTACATTTGTCGGAAGACAATTATTTGAATCAATCAATTTTGTTTTGGTCATTTTGTAAATTGAGTTTATTTCTTCTTCCTTTTCCGTTCTTAGCTTATACAATGCAGTATACGAATCGATGTGGTATTTATAGGTACTTCGCAATTCACTGAATTTATTTGGGTGAATGTCGTGAAGCATAAATAATATTGACCGAAAAATACAATAAGATTATACAACCATTGAATTTCTCTATGTCAATGTATAGTAAAAAACGAGTTTGACGTTTTGCATATATGTATTTTTCTTTATTTGTTAAATAAGCAAATCTTTATTGAGAAATCATCCTTGATTGTATAATCTAATCATTTCTCTGCTAAATCTGTTTATAAAAATATGTTTTTGTTCTGAATCTAGTGAGTAGCAAGATTACACATATGGAAATGAAAAAAAAAATATTTTACAAAACTCAATTTTATAGACATTTTGTTAATGTAATGATTACTATCAAAACTGAAAGATCATTACATATATATATTATAGATAAACCTTTCATATTTCATATTGAGGAATAATAATTTAAAAATTATGGCCTCTAATCTATTTAGATATAAGCAACTAGAGTTCCAAAATTTATTTCATATATTTTTTCAAACTCATTCTTTTATCTTATCCTCCCATATTGGAGAAAAATAAACATATAAATCGAAAATTGACAAAACCGTCAATGTTTGGTTTCGTTCTCTTTTCCCAGTGTTTCTCTCGTGATTTGAGAACACTTCATGTCAAAGAATCCGGTCTCGGTGATTGTATATCGAGTGCTTGCGATTTTGACACTGCTTCTCACACATTAAGAAATGGAGATACAGTATTTTTCGATCAGGATAAGATTGAAATTACAAGTTACCCATCAGCATTCTCAGACTTACTCCATACAGCTATGTTTATGAATGTAACCTTCATTTCTGAAAGCGGAAAAACAGAAATCAACGGCCGTTTCATGGCAGGTGAGCAACTCTTCGATATTCACTCAGCATCTCGTTATTGCTGGGCCAGATTTGTTGGTTTCACGTTTACTCATTTCGAAAAGAAAGTTTTAACACGTACAATGACAGAAAATCAATGGCCACTCATTAACTTCAAGGAGTGCACATTTACAGAAAACAATGACGACATTATCGATGTTAATGGCGGAACATTTCAATTCGATAATTGTTTATTTACAAGCAACCGCAAGCGTCCAATCAAAGCCGTTAAAGAAGCTATGATCGAGTGCAACGATTGCAAGTTTACGAAGTCTGAATCCTGCTTCTTCTCAGATTGCGATGTTATTCTTAACAATTGCCAATTTACAGACAACTTTGGCAGCCGTGGTGGTGCCATTTACGCAGCATCTGCAACATTGACGATCAGAGGTTGCAAATTTATCCGTAATACAGCAAGAATTAACGGCGGCGCCATTTATACACGTCTTTCTATTTCTGATTTGGCATCTGATATCAAGGATTGCGTTTTCATCAGCAATACAGCTAGGGAAAACGGAACAGCAGTTTATACCTATCTTTCTGACATGTTATTAGAGAATAATTGCTTCAGTGGCGATGAGTCCTCTGAATACGTTCAAAACCAGTCCAACAACAAGCTCGTAAATAATGAATTTAAGAGCCAATGCACAAAACAGCTCGAATACGAGCCTCCAAGGGATGATTACGCTCCTCTTGAGCCAAATCCAAAGTATGATATTGATGTTGATGTTGGTCCTAATGTTGGTATTGAACTTTAAAATATATTCGTTCGGAATACTTTTAATAAAATATTTTTTTTTGATAAGTTTTGCAAAATATGACTCTTTTTACTTATATTCGTTTATGTTATTCACTAATATCAGAAAGAAATTTTGAATTAAAGTTAGATGGGGGTAATTGCACCCTTAATTCTTTTAATTTGTTATGTAAACTCCAAGGGATGATTACACTCGTCTAATTCAGAGATATGTATTCGAAGACTTTACTAGGACTCCCATCCTCATCGATTCTTGTCAATCATCTGATAATTAAGCTAAAATATATTCAAGAATCCATATTATCACTTGATATGTACAAAATGTTATGATACCCCAAAATTTATTATATGTAAATATCAAGTGATATCCATTGATATTGGATTTTGGTTTGTTTTGATGTAATGTCTTGTTTTAGGAAAAGTTGTGTATCTAAGAAATCTAAAGATTTTAGTAATAAAAACAAAATATAAGAAAAAAATTATGTTATTTGATTTGAAACAACGTTATGCTCTATCCTAATATGAGTTTTCATGATAATTATCGGTACAAAATAATGTTCAGAAATAATAAAAGAAAAATAAGAATATAAACGTAGGGATCAAAATTCCTACGAGGAAGTAAGTTAATTCCCTTGGTAATTGAACAAGAGGGAAAATATAACGTAACATTATCGTAAATCTGTTATTAAATTTAATAGCTGCTTTCAGATCTTGGTATGAATGGTTTGGAAATTGCTTTTTCAACTTTGAAAGTGACCAGATTTGCTTATTTAAAATTACATTTTCAACATCTATACTTAATTCACGAATTGTATCAACTGTTGATGTTGTATTATAACACCCTTTTGAAATTTTCTTATATGGTTCTTTGCATTCGAACTCTTTGCGCGTACATTTTCCGTGTTTTGGACATGGAGTGCAAACAGCAGAATAAGGACCTGTACAGTAATTTATATTAACTTGAGTTAAAACAAATGATAGGAATATTAATAAAATTGCAATAATCCATTTGATAAATTTTCTCTTCTTTATTTCGCGAACTTGTGCTTGTTGAAACAAAAGGAGTGGATAATTTACAGGTGATACTTCTCTTGAAGAACGTTGAGAATGTGATGGTGAATTTGAAACACTCGCATTATGTTCAGACATAATATAAAAATGAAAATTCATATTGCAATATTAAGCCGGTTGATGTTAGAACAAGGGGTAAAAGCGTAGATGATTAATAAAAAATGAAATTTTGTCCTCAAAATAAAAATTCAATTTCAAAAATTTGGAAAACATGTATATTATTTGTAATCAGAATATTTGTATTTTACTGCTTCTGCTGCTGCTTGAGGAGAGCCTGGTATTGCTCAGCCTTCTTCTTTGTAGCCTCACGCTTCTCCTTACGCTCCTTGAGCATACGGTTCTTGCGGGCAACACGGCGAGCTGTGATGAGGCGCTGGACCTTTGGAGATGTGAATTTGCCTGGCTTGACTTCGCGCTTAAGAACGAGCTTGGAAGCATCGAACTTGGAATCTGTGATGCCGAACATGGCGCGGAGTGTGGAGGCGCGCTTTGGACCGAAGCGGCGTGGAACAACTGTTGTTGTAAGGCCATCGATTTCCTTCTCACCCTTCTGGAGAACAACGCAGTGGAGGGCGGAGATTTCATCGGAAATGATGCAGCCACGGACTGTCTTGCGCTTGCGCTCACCATCCTTACGTGGGCGGTAGCAGGATGCACCTGTCTTAAGGAGAAGGCGGATACGACGTGGTGTGATAACACCTTGCTTCATTGGGAAACCCTGCTTATCGAAGCCACCACCGATGCGGAAGAGGTAGCCCTTGAATTGGCCGCCGAGCTTCTCGCCTTCGATATCTTGGCCAACACGCTTCTCATAGAGAGCGTTGAGGGCAGCTGGATCATCAATATCGACAACAACTTGTGTGCCGTTTTCTGGATAAGCAAGTGTAATTCTCATCGAAAAGAAAGGCCGTAAAAATCAAACGAACCCTCTCAATTTTCGTTGGACCAGATGTCACTTTTTAAGAGCCTAAAATTTTTTGATCAGATTTAATAATAGAAAAACTATTTCTACTATGAGATGAGAAGAAATATTTGGATTTTGATCAAGATTGATTTAAATTTTGAAATCAATAAGAGTTTTGAGAATTTCCAATTGGCTCATTTAAATTTGTAGCATAATGGCTTACCATTTTTAAGATGTCTTTTTAAGATCTAATTTGATTAATTTCAGTAGTATATGTGGACGGGTTTAGTGACTTTTTTTGTTACATCTATATATAGACGATGCATTAAAATATATTTATTTATAAACACATTAAAAAATTAACATTAATTTTAAAATAATTTATTTTTTTATCTTTTATAAAAGAAGCTATATATAGATGATGTCAGATATTCCGCGATTAATTAAACATTGTTTAAATCCTGAATGGAATCAATGGAGTCATAAACGAGTAAAAGAAATTAGAAATTCATGTCTTACGAAAAATTAAAACTTAGTTATGTTTATTATTTTATTTTTTTATTTTGTATGAAATGAGCGTCAAAACTAACAACGTTAAAAAATTAGGATTCACAAACGAGGAAATAAAGGATATATTAGAGGAGGCGGGTTATGAAGTTAATAAATATTATTTAAGAAATTGTCAAAAATTTGCCGAGTTATTAAATGATTTAGATTATGATGGAAAAATGAATAAAGATGATGTTATAAATTTCTTATATCCCACATCTAAAGAAGAAAAACCTAAAGAACCTGATGTTTTCCCTGAATATTATGAAGAACGAATTAAAGATGATGAATACAATGAAATTGAAAGACTGGAAAAAATAAGAGATGAAATAGATGAAAAAATTAAGGAATTAAGAGAAGTTGAAAAATATAATGAAAATGAAGTAGAGGGTTTAATGAATATCCCAGCTTCAGAATCAGAAGTACAGAAATCTCATGAAGAAAGATATAAAAATTACTTTTTGGAATCTACTAAAAATTTATTAGATGGTGATATTGACGAAACACTTTCAGAAGAAGGCACAAAATTTATTCATAAACATAAGCTTCAGTTTATTGACGATGGAGATTATCCATGTATATTACTTTCACCTCCTCTTGATTCTGAAAAATTCAAAAAAGCACTGAAAAATGTAACATATGCAACAAATACGATTAAGAAAGAAGACCATGATATTTACACAAATTATTATTTAAATAAATGTACAGGTGTTGATAAAGTTTTTGATTTGTTAGATAAAATATCAAAAGAAACAATTGGTACATATAAAATTTTATGCGATTGTGGTTTCATTATTGAAGATACCAATAATGTTTCATATGAAAGAACAGCACCGAAGGAAGACGAAGTTGAAAGGTCTATACCATTCGTTATTAAGAATATAAAAGATATGAAAACTTATAAACATTATATTTATTCATTTATTTCAGAAAAAATGGAAGCAACCCATAAAACATCTTCTCATCATTTTATAGCTATTCATACATTCCTTTTCAAAGTTGTGAAATTAAATAAGACAGGAATTAGATTTAATGTATCAGGGTACGCATTCTTGAGTAAATTAAAATGTATTCGTCACGTCGCAGATGATAAAAATTTATGTGTTCTTAATTCATTTTATGGACTTTAGCCCTGGACTCTCTGAGTCTCGGACTTTAAAAAAAATAAACTTTATTTTTATTTATTTTTTAATTTTTATTCTTACATAAATGAATAAAAATGGAACAGCTAAAATGAATGATAATCAAATAAGAGCAGAAGGTAGAAGGTTATTTAAACGCTTCTATAACATTCCTGATGGTGTTAATCCTAAAACTCGTAGAAGCTATTTAAATGAAGCAATAGATGCATATGAAGGGTTTGACATTTCATCAGAAAGTGAGAGGTTAGCAAGAATGTTAAACGTTAATATTGATTTTTATTATTGTGACCCTCAACCAGAAGACGTAGACATTAACAAGGTAGACTTTCCATTAGTGGAATCAATAATGATAGATCCAGAATTTGAAACAGTAAATATTTTATTAACACAGAGTCCATGTGGAAAACTTCACGCTGACAGAATAACAGACGTTGAAGCACTCACCGGCTATAAAGTTTGCCCCTTTTGCAAAGAAGAAGTATATTCTATCCGTGATGATCCAGAAAGGAAAAACCAAAGAAGATTTTTAAAACATTGTGAGAAATGTAAAGAAAATAATGGAAGATTAATTCAAGACGTTCAATTGCAAAACACACAACAACCATATGCACCACATATTACGAAACAGAAGATATATCAATGGCTATTAGCACATAATTTGCAGGAATATTATAAACCAACAAGATATTATATTACTTTTGACTTTGAAACATTAGAGACTAAAGAAGAACTTCAACTTTCTGAATGTGCAACTTTGAACGCTTACTTAAAACCATTTATGGTATCATCAACTGTCAAAATAAAGCCGCAAAGCGGTGAGGTCGTAGACCGTGATAAAACATATACGAGGAATTTTTGCTTAACATCAAGTGATTCTTTTATTTCTGATTGGATTGAGTTTTTATTTTCAACCTGTTCATTAGTTGCTAAATCAAATATTGAACAATATGAAGAATTAATGAAGCCGCAAACATTAAATGAGAAACAAAAGGAAGCATTTAAAGAACTTCTAGATGAGGAATTCAATAAAGTGAATATCATAGGTTTTAATTCGGGAAAGTTTGATTTAAATTTAATTCTTCGTGATTTAAATACTGCAAAATGGAAGATAAAATCAATGCTGGGTTCTTCTTCACAATTTAAGCAAATCATTGTAAAGAAAACAAACTGTCCATATGAATTGAGATTTATTGACATCAGAAATTATATAGCGGGTGGAACATTAGACCAATTCACTCAAGATTTCGGAAACAATAAATCACGTGTTAAATCCTTTTTCCCTTATCAATTCATCACATGGGAGAATTACGAAGATGAATTATATAAAAAGGAACCATTCACTCAAGATTCATTTTATTCAGCATTAACACAAGAAACAATATCCGATAGTGATTATCAAATATATCTCAATGATGCTAAAAATTTTGAGAATAGATTAGAATATTTTATTCATTATTGCAATAAAGACGTTGAAATTATGATTGACCCAATTGATAAAATTATTGAAGAAACATTTGTTTATAAAATTGACATGCTTCATAATCTTTCTTTATCATCGAATGCATCAATGATTCGTTACGCGTTAGCATATAAGAACTTCAATCCTAACGAAACATATCCAGAAGAAGAAAATGTGGAATCAAGTTTTGAATTAACAAAAAAGTATTGGAAATATAAAATTGAATCATATAAGAAACAAGATGAAAAAGCAGAAAGGGATACTAAAAACAATGTTTCAATGGATGATTTTCAATACTATCACGATTTAATCCTTTCATCTAAATGCAAAATGTGTGGTAAAGCGTTTACATATGCAAATAAACCAACATTAGATAGAATCGATAATGAAAAACCACATACCAAAGAAAATTGTCAGTTAATGTGTTGTTATTGCAATGTCGTAAAATCAAATAAAGATGAAGATGTTCAACGTTTAAGAATCAATTTAAGAAATTATGCATTAAAAAATAATTTACCAATGACTTTAGATTCAGTTGAAGCTTATCACATTCTCCGTAATGGAATTACTGGTGGTCTATCAAATGTTCAACATAGAGTAAATCTTAAAGGAATCACGCACATTAATAAACTTTCATATAGTCCAGAAACTAAAACTGTATCAAATGAGGACACCACCAACATTATGACTCATTTCGTTGGTGTTGATTTTAATTCATTATATCCTTCATCATTTTCATCTAATCCTCATGATTTCATTCAATATACTGACCATAAAATGTATATGCCGGGAAGATTGAATGGTGTTATCATTTGTGATACAGCAACAAAGAAAGCAAAAGCACTGGGAATTATTAGAAAGAAAAATACTTTATTCGTGGCTGAAGTAAAGGGTCACATTGATGAAAAATACATTAATGATTACATAAACTTTTTACCGATAATAAGAAACTTAGATATTATCACAGATGAAAAAACAATTGGCAGTTTTATGTATAATTACATGAAATCAAACAATCTACCAG